TCCCCTTAGGTGTGAGGGTGTGTGTGAACAGTTGTTTGTCCGGTTTGTCTCTGTGTTGCCCTGCGATGGACTGGCGACCTCTCCAGGGTGTACCCCGCCTCTCACCCGTAGACAGCTGGAGATAGGCACCGGCACCCCTCGCGACCCCACTTGGGATTAGGCGTGTCAGAAAATGGGTGGATGGAAAAATATATTGCATCATTATATTATGAGGATGTATTGCATGATCTGTATTAAATGCTGACTAGATTAACTGAAACATGATTTCTTATACTTTATTAATCATATTTATAAGATATAAAAAACTGAAACCTATTATATTACAGAGTTTAAAAAAAAAGTTGAAACACTTCTGATTTCCAATAAACAGAGACAGGCTGGTGAAGATTCTCAGTCATTCAGGTCATAGTCATTCCAAAAAAAGAAAATTAAAAACAATCCACTGGAATTTTTTCCCAAGATTGAAGACGTTTCTCTTCCCATCCAGGAAGCTTTTTCAATTCAAAATGTCAGGAATAGCGTTGAGGTTTTATACAGTAGCCCATCAAAACCTTGTTTTTGTTTAAAACATGCAAATTGAAACGGACGAAGGGGTCCACCCCTTGGCAATGGGGCTCGTTTGGCTTCTTTTGTTTGCATGAAATGCCCCATAAGTTTCTGAAAGTGGGTCGTTATAGAGAATTGTTGGCCTGGCTGATTAGGCAAGGACTTCTGCCTTTGAGTCAATGGGTTGATGCAATCAACTGGTTTTCCTTAGATAGAAAACTTTGAATCAATCTGACTGTATGATCTGGTGAACTGGAAAGTGCCTTGAGATGACATGTGTTGTGAATTGGCGCTATAGAAATAAACTGAATTGAATTGGATTTTTGAATAAATATCTTCCAAAGATATTTTCGGTAAACAGAAGGCTTTTACTAAACCTTCACCCTACTAGCACCTCCCAGTTCTTCATTTTGAAATGCATCCAGATCTCCAGGGCTATGTTCAGTGTGCTCAGATGACTCATTTGTAATAATGCCTTTCTGAGTTTAAAGTAAAGAAAATAAATTCTGGGCTATCAGGAAAACTCAATGCATCTGCAGTATAAATAAGTTCACCAGACTGGCTCTCCTCTTGTAAAAACTGCGAGGGATGTCTCACAAAACCTCTGTTTGCTGAACAGAAAAGAATAAACGTTAGCTGAATTCCAGCTTTGTTTTGATCCTCCTCTGTTTCCCATCACGCTGCAACCGGATACAGCTGGCTGCCTGACACTGTGAATAGAGATGCTTCCATGGGATCTACCCCTTAGGAACCAGGAGCAGATGCTCTACCCTATGTAGCTTCATTAGTGTTTGCTTTGTTTCCAGTAGCAGTGGTGGCTCACATGGTGTGGTTGCGAGAGGCTGTCATTAGCCTTTGATGAACCCCTATTACCATAGTTTGGTCTTTTTTTTTCAGCTACTATCCTTTAGGATTTATCAGCGGACCTCAGGTTAGCTCAGGCATAACATTCAGCTTGTGTTTAGTTTCTTAAATATGGAGTAAGATGACCGTCTATAAAGATATATGCACAGAATATTTGAATTTTTTAAATGTAAGTCAATAAGTAGCAATGGATTTAAGGTTTGTATTTGATCCTTTTTTTTTTCCAGCTCGTACAAACATAGATATGACATCAGATGTTTCATCTGCGGGAATAAAAGCTTATTAGGTTTGAAAGTTAAAACTTTACAACAATACAAATACCAATTTACATATACAGATCTACAACCCTCAATAAGGCTGTTACACTCCTTACCAGTTGTTGGTGGTTAATAGGGCTGTGTTATCGATATTGATTAAAGATAGATTGAGGTTTTCCCCCGATGTATACCAGCTATGCTGTAATTTAAGCCGATATGCTCAAGTTTCATGACTGTACCGGCCACTAAAATGTTTTTAAAACACGTATCTCCTTTTTTTGCATACAGGCGTGAGAGAAGCGCTTTAAAAAGTGAATCCTGTGCTATTCAGATTTTTTTCATTGACTTGGACTCATCCTGAGTGTTTGCAGGTGAACATGTCAGCAAACAGAGAGCAACCTTTAAATCTATCACTGCTGAGAGTGATAGATTGCCTATTCTTAGCCAATCAAAAATAGACAGAGGTGTCAAGTAACAAAGTACAAATACTTCTTTACCTCATTTATGTAGCAATTCTGTCTATCTATACTTTATTGGAGTCATTTTTTGGGACAACTTTTTACTTCTACTCCTTGGATTTTTTTTTTTCTTTTGCAGCTATCTCTACTTTCTACTCCTGACATTTTCAAAATAAAGTCATTAGTTTTGTTTCATTTAAGCTCATGTTCGTTTTTGCCTGTTGGTTAAGAAAAAAAAAATAAAAAAACCATCAAAATAATTTGTTTTATTCAGACAATTAGGGCCTGAACCGTAAATCCTTCCATTTCAGGGAAAACTCCTACATCCTACACCACTGTCGCACCAAATTGTTTTCACCACATACCAAAATTTATATTTTCCCGATGATGCAAATTTAGATTTAAAACTGTTACCATTAGTTATAAAATTAAGAAAATTAAGTCTTAAGGAAATTATCATCCAGAATTGTAGAAAAATGTTCCTGTCAAAGGCTAGTGCAGTAAAGCATCTTCATTAACATTTTCCTGCATTATTTTTAGTTTTATACTTTAAGTAGTTATAAAAATGGTACTTTTACATGAGTAAAAAAACTGAAGTTAAAACAATAGGATTTCTACTTCTACTTTAGTAATAAAAATTAATATGTTTAACAGCTCTGAAAATAGAAAATCACATCAGTACAGAAAAAAGAAAAAGTAAAAAAAAAAAACAGGTATTCTTTTTTGTGGTAAAGGCTCTTGGATGTTTGCTATTTTAGAAACTCATTGAATAAATACCATGGTGTGGTAACATCTGTTTGTTGCTGGACTCAATGATCCTGCTCCATAGATGCCCTAAAAGGTTTAGCCTCACTGGAAGTGACATAATTTGGAGCGTCATCCAATCAGGGCTCTACTTTCTCCGTGCTTACCTCAACAGACCGAGACTGAAACTTTAACAGACAGATTAATGCTGCTCAATAGCGGAGGGGAAATCGCGTCTGAGAGCGGAATAAACAGCCGATTAATACTCATGAAATCAGGCGCATTTTAGGGCATATTTAATGCAGTTTGATGACTACACTTATGAAGTCTGACAATGCATATTTTACCCAAAAATGTAATTAAAGTTACAGGGGAGGATGTTGTGCTTTTATTCCCCAAGAAAATTAGAAAGTAGATGGGATTACCTGTTAGAATTGACTAAAAGCTCTAACTTAATTGCTTTAGTTACATGTATTTGAAAGAATTCATGAATACATGAAAAAATGTCCACACTGTTTACATTTGATCACTGCTGCACTTTATGGAATTGAAATGTTCATTTACTGTTTACAAAACCATTTTTAGTACAGCTTTTCAGACACTCTGTGTATACAAAACAACAATAAAAGTTGCCTAAGCCTAACTCTCTATGGAAGTCTAAGTCTTAATTGTAAAGCGAATCACTTTATCTGTGATTTTCACTTAAAACAATAATTTCTGAACATGGGATTTATTTATTTCTTTTTATATATTTATTTATTTTCCAACTTTTATTGTCATTACACTGTCACAAGTGCAGAACAACGAAATGAACCCTCTACATTTAACCCATCCCTGTGGGGAGCTGTGGGGTGCCACTGTGCGGCAACCGGGGAGCGGTGTGGCGTTTAAGGGTCTTTTGCTCAGGGACAAAGAGTGGCAGTCTGATTTATTCTGCAATATTCTCATATTTCTCTTAAAAAGCTTTTATGCAGATTTAACAGTAATGCTGGTTAAAGTACATCCACTGTGGGGGGGCATGCTAGTAGTGCGTAAAGGCTGGAGCTGCATATTCAATCGTTTCTGACATAAACATAATGGCCTCATTACTCACTGCGTGTGTCTGAATGATAACAAAGGTCAAAGTTCAGCGCTGTGCTTAACCTGCTTGCACACTCTGCCAATCCCATTCAACAAGATTTATTGCAAACCCGTTCACACGTCCGTTCAGACTGTTCACATCACCATTCATCCATTTATATCTGTGCTGCAGTCATGGTGTGTTTGTAAAGTCCAACAAAAAATAAAAGGACTCTTCAGTAGTGGTTATTTACTCCACAAGATCTTTAAATAATCAATAGAAACATTCATTTTGGCATACATTTTAGATCCCTTTCCTATCTAAATGTGATGTTTCTCTGTTACAATCATATCTCTTTGTCTAATACGTGTTTGACATATAAATTTAGCCCAACAAATTAGAAAACTGAAGTTTAATTGATAATTCCTTTGTCTTAACAATGAATCTTGAAAATTTGTTTATTTCACCTCAAGTTCATTTTTGCAGGCAATCTGGGTGAAAGGAAAACATGTCATGTGATATTTTGCAACCAGTTGCAATCTCATATCTCCCCCTTAGAGACTGAACTTTTCCCTCTAACCCCATTAAACTTTGCGGGGGTCGCCTCAGGCGTGCTCTCTGTGCGACAGTGACCAACACAATCATAATGGCTGACTTGTGACAGATGCTGGTCGAGGAATGGGATGCCTTCCAAAGCCAGTGGTCAGCGTGGTGAGGCGGTGCAAAGCTCATGTGGCGGTTTCTAAACGCTCACTAAAGAGCCCGCTGTTTGTTAAGGCATTAAATTATTTCACTGCTAATGTCTTTGATTAATCCAATCCAGAAAGCTACAGCTAACACAGGTCAACGGCAGAATGAGATACATTTTCTCATACATGTGACAGAATTTTAAAGGAAATCAACAGTTTTTTTTCTTTTTGGTTTTCAACAAAATTAGATGAATTTTCATATGATGATTAAATTTAATTATGTAAATATGGAAAATTTTAGTTTGACTTGATATATAAACTTAATTAAGTTTGACCAAATCTGTTAAAATAACTCCCCTGGCTTCTCTATTCCTCTCCTCAGGCTGATTTTGGCTGCAAACAGAGATGAGTTTTACAACAGACCGTCCAAAGCTGCAGACTTCTGGGGGACCAACAATGAAATCCTCAGCGGTAAGTCGGTGCAGTCCAGTCGGTGCAGTCCAGTCGGTGCAGTCCAGTCGGTGCAGTGCAGTCGGTGCATTACAGTCGGTGCATTACAGTCGCTGCTGTCCAGTCGGTGCATTACAGTCGGTGCATTACAGTCGGTGCATTACAGTTGCTGCATTACAGTCGCTGCAGTCCAGTCGGTGCATTGCAGTCGCTGCTGTCCAGTCGGTGCATTGCAGTCGCTGCTGTCCAGTCGGTGCAGTGCATTCGGTGCCTTACAGTCGGTGCAGTGCAGTCGGTTCAGTGCAGTCGGTGCATTACAGTCGGTGCAGTGCAGTCGGTTCAGTGCAGTCGGTGCATTACAGTCGGTGCATTAAAGTCGGTGCAGTCCAGTCGGTGCAGTGCAGTCGGTGCATTACAGTTGTTGCAGTGCAGTCGGTGCATTACCGTTGGTGCAGTACAATCGGTTCAGTACAGTCGGTGCAGTGCAGTCGCTGCTGTCCAGTTGGTGCAGTGCATTCGGTGCCTTACAGTCGGTGCAGTGCAGTCGGTTCAGTGCAGTCGGTGCATTACAGTCGGTGCAGTGCAGTCGGTTCAGTGCAGTCGCTGCTGTCCAGTCGGTGCAGTGCATTCGGTGCCTTACAGTCGGTGCAGTGCAGTCGGTTCAGTGCAGTCGGTGCATTACAGTCGGTGCAGTGCAGTCGGTTCAGTGCAGTCGGTGCATTACAGTCGGTGCATTAAAGTCGGTGCAGTCCAGTCGGTGCAGTGCAGTCGGTGCATTACAGTCGTTGCAGTGCAGTCGGTACATTACCGTTGGTGCAGTACAATCGGTGCAGTACAGTCGGTGCAGTGCAGTCGGTGCATTACAGTCGGTGCATTAAAGTCGGTGCAGTCCAGTCGGTGCAGTGCAGTCGGTGCATTACAGTTGTTGCAGTGCAGTCGGTGCATTACCGTTGGTGCAGTACAATCGGTGCAGTACAGTCGGTGCAATGCAGTCGGTGCATTACAGTTGTTGCAGTGCAGTCGGTGCATTACCGTTGGTGCAGTACAATCGGTGCAGTGCAGTCGGTGCAGTGCAGTCGGTGCATTACAGGTGCTCCAGTGCAGTCGGTGCAGTGCAGTCGGTGCATTACAGTTGTTCCAGTGCAGTCGGTGCATTACCGTTGGTGCAGTGCAGTCGGTGCATTGCAGTTGCTCCAGTACTGTCGGTGCATTGCAGTTGCTCCAGTGCAGTCGGTGCATTACAGGTGCTCCAGTGCAGTCGGTGCATTACAGTCGCTGCAGTCCAGTCGGTGCAGTGCAGTCGGTGCATTAAAGTTGTTCCAGTGCAGTCGGTGCATTACCGTCGGTGCATTACCGTTGGTGCAGTGCAGTCGGTGCATTACAGTTGCTCCAGTGCAGTCGGTGCATTGCAGTTGCTCCAGTGCAGTAAGTGCATTGCAGTTGCTCCAGTGCAGTCGGTGCATTACAGGTGCGCCAGTGCAGTTGCTCCAGTGCAGTCGGTGCATTACAGGTGCGCCAGTGCAGTTGCTCCAGTGCAGTCGGTGCATTACAGTCGGTGCAGTGCAGTCGGTGCATTACAGTCGGTGCAGTGCAGTCGGTGCATTACAGTCGGTGCAGTGCAGTCGGTGCAGTCCAGTCAGTGCATTAAAGTCGGTGCAGTCCAGTCGGTGCAGTACAGCTGAATCTTGCAGGATTTTGATCGCCATGTTGTAGCCTTTTATCACTGACCAACTTTACATTCCTTACTAATTGGCTTCCAATAATCAAGGCAGAGTTTGTCCTTAACTTTTCTCTGTAGTTTTCTTCCAATTGCCACCCACATTAACTTAAACTGTATTCAATTTACAGGTCTCTGGTGCACTTTTCAGACAAATAGAGAAAATCAATAATTTTCAGATTATTTTTTTTATTATTGTATTTTATTTCTTTTTTCCTCCTGCATAAGAAGGAAACACAGACATAACCTCGTTGTTCATCAATCTCCTCTCGCCGCTTTGATAGAGGGGTCAGGACTCCACCAGCGGCTCCGTAATTGATGCCTGTTTTTATGCGATGTGACAGGAATAAATGGCCCTGCCTTATCTGTAGGGTTGGCGCAAGGGTGGGGGGGACACCCAGGAGGAGACAGACCATGAAGGGAAATAAGTAATAGCTCCCAGGGGGATCTGTGCAGCTATTTACCCCCCAGAGGACTGGGACCATTTAGCTCTCGGTGGAGAGGAGCTGTCTTAATTGATCAACAGGAAGGCTGCAGACAGACTCACCTTTAATAGGACAAAGTGGAGAAGAGGAATCCAGAAAGATAGAAGCTAATTGATTGGTGGGCTGACTGTGTTTCATTCAAGGGGACATATTTCCTCAATATACTTGTGTTATTACTTGTCTACTTTTTATTAATTGGTCTGTACTACACATACAAACATACAGTATTTAAGGCCAAATTAAGATTATTTTCAAACTTTGTTTAAAGCTAAACAAGCTTCACTTGTTTAAAGTTTTTAATTTTATTAAAATGAAACCAAAAATGTATGATTTGGTTTTAATAAAAAAGTGTCTACTAAAGCAGGGATGCACAAATTGCAGGTTTCTGACCAATTACATTACCAACTTTTTTCATAGGTTTATATTCTGGCTGAAACAATTAATTGGATTAATCTTGATTAATCAATTATCGAAATAATTGTAAATGAATTTAGTAATTGATTTATAGTTAACTTGAGTGTAGAGACTCTAAAACGTGTCTTAAGCTGACAGCGTGACCCATTTAGAGCAGCAATTATAACAAAAATGTAAAACAAGATATAAAAACATGTAGCATTTAAGAAAAAATGATTTTTCGTCTGACGATATGCTCTATCCAGAACTTAGACATAAAAAGATTTACGTTTCACCTGGTTTAATTTAGCAAAAAATCTTCTTTAATTAACCTTTTGCTGTCTGAATATTATTCAATTAATCGAGAAAAATATTCAACAGATTAATCTATTTGTAAACCAATCGTTAGTTTATTTAGTCAAAAAAGGGATTAAACTTGGCCACTGGCCACTGGCTGCACCAATGTTTAGACTTAGACAACTTTATTCTTACCCCCCAGAGGACTGGGACCTAATTTTCTGATTTTTTTCTTCCACTTTTAGTTTGTGTTTTTCCGTGTTGATCAGATCTTAATGATGGACAGTATGTGAGATATGATTAATATGAAATCCTCGTTAGGATACTGCAGATTAAATATTCTACTACTCTCTCCCACCAGGTCTGGACCAAGAGTATGGGAAAGAAGGAGGATCGTGGCTGGGAATCAGTAAATGGGGAAAGCTGGCGGCCATCACAAACTACATGGAAGGACATCCGAACCCTAATGCACAAGGAAGAGGTTAGCCTGTCTTAGCAGAGTCACTACATCTACTGAGTTCATATCAGCTGCTGTGCCGCAAAGCTCCTATTAAACAGCATGTGTCATTTAGAGGCTCTACGGACATCATCAGATGTCCCAACAGGAATTCTTTGGGCCCTGAAACCAATCCGATACACTTAAGATTGAACTTTAGCTTATGCCAACTTCCAGTCTAACACTAGAATAAAATACTGATGCATATATGCTAGGAGCTCACTAGCATGTGGCATCAAACAGAACATTTAGTCAGTGGTTATTTTTTATTGTCGAGTAGTTATGTGATGCGCTAAGCAAATGTTAGCATGCTTACTCTAAAAATATTAAATATCAAAACTGTATGACCAGTATTTCAGGTGCTGTTTCTCAGACTGTTGGGGAGTTGCAATTAAAGTACTGTGTTTCAGTTATTTACAGTGAAAGAAATGATAATATATACAATAGAATGTATACATTACCATTCAAAAATTATTTTTTTCAAATTATTATGATTAGAAAGTGAAAAAGCTTTCCTTTACTGCAAAAACAATCTAGAAATAAGTCAACGTTTCTTAAATTAAGTGTATTAACCCTTCATTTGAGTAGGTAAATAAGATGATTTGCCGATGGAATCAGTATTTTTACTTGTGAAATAAGATGATTAGCTAATATGCACTTGGAATCTTATTTTAAATGTAAATTTCTTTATTCCATTGGAAAAGTGTCTACCTTACCTCCTCAATTCCTGAACAAATGCACTTATTATAAGAAAAAAGGACTTATTTCGATTTTCTTCGGTGTTCCTTTCTTCATTTTCACTGCTTTTTCTTTTAAAAACCATCAAAAGCGCCATATTAATCCAAAAAATGTGAAAGCTTTTTATATACATGAAGGAATGACTTTAAATAGTTCAATTCTATTTCAATTTAATTCAGTTTATTTACATGGCGCCAGTTCACAACATACGTCATCTCAAGGCACTTTACAGTCCACCAAATCATACAGTCAAATTGATTTAAATTTTTCTATCTGAGGAAAACAATATATATATATATATATTGCCATTTATTGGCTGTGGTAGTCTGGAATGAAATGATTATTTCCTTTGCTTTTACCTTTCAGGGTTTCTCGTATCTAACTACCTTATGGATAAGGATGTGGACAGCTACTCCTACCTGAAGAAGGTGTCTGCAGAAGGCCACATGTACAACGGCTTCAACCTCATTACAGCTGAGTTCAAGTGAGGGAAACGTTTCCTTCCTCTCCTCTGATACAGGCCAGCAGGCTCTATGTTTAAGGATGTTTATAGCTGCAAAAGGATTAATTATCTTTTTCTATGTATCGTTATTAGAGATCAACCATTACAGATTGTTTTGACATCAGTCTAACCAACCCCAGACATGTGCTGCAGATGTTTTGGGGATGATTCTTGACAAAATGATTAAAAAATGCTAAATAAGTCACAGTTTAGTAAAAAAAAAAAAAAAAAAAAATTAATGATACATTTAATTAAAAATGAACAAAGGTTGGCAAACGCATGTGCTTTGAATTGGATGCAGGTATCATACCATATTGATACCGAAAACAAATCTAGTATCAACCAAAAATATAGGCCTGTTGATGTATTCAGCGCTCTCTAATTGTCATAGGATGGAATATATCTCTATGGTCATAAAAATATTAGGACTGCTTTTTTTTCTTCTATCAATAATGACTGATCCTTTTGGCCCGATTCATTCATGCATTTGATCCATTAGTGCGTTCAGCAGGCAGACCTTGAGATCAGGCAATCTTTTGATTTGTTGATGTGTCTTTTTGTTCAAATTGAGGCTTGAGTTACATTTATTGTTCTCAGTTTTATTATGTAAATTCAAATAATTAAAAGTTTGTTCAGTGAACGCTAAGCTAGCACAGCAGGAAGTCCCTGTGGTCAACTGAGATGGAAAAGAGTATCACTACCTGCCAGGGAAAGGCTGGGCGCTGGGTTCAAATGCACCACAATAGCTTCCTGAAGGGTAAGAAAGGAAAGAGAGGGAGGATTCAGTGAGGAGTTTGGTGTCAGGAGGTGTGCTTCCTGCTAACATGGCCTGTAGCCTGGATATCAACTGATATAGTTGTTTTTTGCAGCTTGTTAATTCATTTCATTTTAATTCTTTTATGAACACATCTCCAGTTCCACCCAGCGGATCTGTGGACGGATGCTAATTTTCCTTACACCTTATGTAATAGAACCTGTGCAGAAATTACTCGTACTGAGAACATTTAGAAAAGAAAAACAAAGAACTGCTGCTTATCCTTAGGTTTAGCTGCTCCCGCTTGTTTTGCTGTCCTTTTATGTAAAAAAAAAAAAAAAAAATCTGTTCTGACCCTGACAGCTGCCTTTCCTGCAGAAAGAGAAGGAAACCTTCATCTTTTAAATAAGCACCAACATTAGCGAATTATGTCTTTCCTGCTGCAGAGCCCTGCAGCGCTGGAGAAATAGGATGTTTATTCCCCTAATCAATAAGGCGTCACATGGAAAGACAATGCCTCTACGTTATATTAGCATTTACAGGATTTCTTAGTATTTTTCTGGATCTGCTTGATTTAAAATGCAGCAACAGTTTGAGTTCTTTTGAAATGGAACTTTCTGGGCATTTTGGTTTAAAGGCTTTCTACCTAATATGGAAAGATGTCGATTTATTGTTTGCATAAAGTTTGAATTTCCTCTTAAAATCACTTAAAATCAGAATTTCTATCCATGTTGGATTATATCCGTGGCAACATTCAAGAAGCTAAAACCATAAATATTCTAATGGCAGTCTTCAATATTTTAATCCTCCATATTGTTCACCATTTTTTCTGACTGATAACTTTCTATTTTTATTTCCATTTTAACTGATAATTGCTGCAGAGTAAAAATTATATCTTCCTCCGCTGTTTAGGTGCTGAGAAATTATTCCCTTTATCTTCTTCCAGGTTGAGAGCGGCTGGTTTAGACTTTTAATGTTAGAGATTAGCTGAACCTTATTGCCTAAAAGCATTTCTTTTACTTGTTGGCAGAAACTTGCTTCAGCTGAAATAGAAACATCTTTGTGCTGCAAATAAAACACATTCCAGAGTATTGGATTGGATGAACTCTATGAATGTTAGAGGAAGCTCTTCGATTATTGTTTTAGGATCCTTTTCTTCTTTTAAAGAGCTTTATAGCATTGAAAATTCCTTTTTGAAAGCACAAAGCACTGCCTCTTCATAGAAACTATTCGTTGATCGCTGCATATTTCTAAATTCTCTTATAGATTTTTTAAATGAAACAAAATTAAAGCTGAAGTCTGTAAGTTTTTAAAAATCACTTTTTTGTCATATTGGCTAAAACTGTCCCTATGCCCAGACAGCAGTACATGTGATATGTAACCTGTGAAAAAAACTGCTTCAATTGGTACCGCCTACTGCCTGTATTTCAATCTGGAAAGAATAATTCGGGACGAGTCAAAACAACCAATCACAGCCAGAGGAGCGTCTGATGGAGTGTCAATCACAGCTCACACACGCTGAATCCCGCCTCCCCCCTTCTGGTCACATGCGGTAGCCGCGCAGATGCTGTGAGAGGGGTGGAGCTTGGAGGTGGGGCATGAGTGAAGCAGAGAGGGTGGGGGAGTGGAGTGAAACCTGTTTTTCTTCAAATTTTCAGTCGAAGCCTGCTCTCTCCTCAATGTTACAGACTGCAGCTTTAACACATTAAATTCACTCTGATTTCAAAGAAGAGAATTTAAAAGATCATATAATAAAAACTTAAAAGTCTTTGAAGTCATTGTTTCATGCAGGAAACTCAATGTTGGGCAATAATCTATCTACTCAACTTTCTCAAAAAGATTTTTTATCCACTGTATGATTCCGTATTCATATTGATGAAGCACCAAATGACACCAGCAGAAGCGATGAAGCTTTGCAGAAATGCGACAGGCAAGCATCACATTTCATAGAGATGTGACCTTGTGATTTTACGGTGCATTAAAAGGTCCTGAGAACAACTTCTGATGGCTTTAGAAACAAAAAATGAGAAGAATCGGTGAATTATAGCAGTGGACCAAGTAAATGTGGAGCTTTGCAGAAGTCTTCTATCTGTTGTTAGCATTTTATGTAATATTCAAACATGGATTAGGCTGTAACTATGAAGTTGAAGTGCATCTTTTTTATTTTTATAGAAAAAAACCTGAAGATTTGCATGCATGGGACTCTTAACTGCAGTACTTGCTGTGAGCCTCTTGGTCAGACGTGTAGAGAGAAAGTCAGATTGGATGGATAGCATCTTTGTTTATATTTTTAAAGTTTAGTCACAAAGTTGTTATTGTTTTTTTCTGGCTGGACTTCAATCGTGTCAGTCTAACTAAGAATAACATTTAATCTAATCTCTGTTGCTCGATGTTCAAGGTCATTGTTCTGTAGCCATCAATTTACTCATCAACCGGGTCTAGATTCCCCGACCCTCGGCATTATAATACCAACACCCCGGCTTTTACAGCTCGTCTGTATTTGTAGATGTAGTCGATGATTCTTCAGAGAGCTTTTTGACCTTGCCTAAAAGCCTGACCATCATTGTCTGTGCCGAGAGCCCGTCCACGCCTCTCCAGGCAACTGCACCACAGCTGGCGATTGGCAAATTGCTCTACAGCCTCAACATAGAGGGCTCTTCATTAGAGCAGCTCCAGGCCAGAATACCGATTACCTCGCTGCCTGAGGTCTCAGAAAAAGGGACTTTTTTTTTCTCACTCGTCCCTCTTCGCTGTCTCTCTGTGCCCAGTAGCCCTGATCCCCTGCTTCTCCCTCATCTCTGCTCAAATCAACCCAAAGCCCTGCTGATAAGGCCCTCGATATTCCAGCCACTTATACATAGCAGAAATGACCTCTCTCTCCATAAATCCTTCAGCTGCTTCCTCCTCTGTCAATTTGACTCACAGCACAGACATGAGGGTCTTTAGTTCAGGTCAAAATACAGAGAACAAAGCTACAATCTCCTCCTTTTTGCATGTTTGCTGTTGATTTTAAGTAGTTTATTTTTTGCCTGGTCGCATCAGTGTGTGCTATCGCTCGTGTCGACCCCCGTCTACCGCTGCTGTGTTCACCGTCACCATAGGAACACGGACAGTGTTGTTTATTTATGATGTTTAGCCGGCTCTGGGTACAAGAAACAATATTAAGGACGGGAGATTGCTGTTGTCAGAAGGATTTTGTAATGTCAGTTGGCGGCTATGAGATTTGCTCTGTCTGTCTGCTGTTTTCTTCTCTGACACATTTCTCTGCCTTTAGAACATGCTCCCCTCAGAAGTGTTCGATTTGCTTTTGTCAGGCTATGCTGCTGTATTTACCTCGGTGCAATGTGCTTTTGCTGATATTGAAGCTCATGGCTGGATGCTGGTCATTTTTTTTCTTTTTCAAATTCTGTTTTTTATAGTTTTGCAGGTTTTCTATCAAACTTTTTTTATGTTAAAAAGTAACAGGAGTTGTTGCACCTGTTATATGTCAAGTTGTACATGAAAACCATTTGTTCCTGTTGATGAATTAAAGTAATCACCTGTAGATTTCTGTGAGGAGACTGTTTCTATGCAGTTTTCTCATTGTTCATCACAGCAACAAATGGCTACTCGTGACCAGAACTGTCATCTGAGCGGCTAAAGCTGCACCACCACTCTGATGAATGCATCTAATGAAATCCAGCAGTTCTGAGCAGATTAATCAATTATTAAAATAATCATTAACTAATTTAGTTATCAATTAATCATTAACTGGAGTAAAGAGACTTTAAAACATGCCGTTAGCTGACAGGTCAACCCGCTCAGAGCAGTAATTATATATAAAAATTGTAAAACAAATAATCAAACATTTTGTATTTAAGAAAAAAAAAAGTTTCCATCCATCAAAATGCTCCATCCAGAACGCCTTAAATGGAAAAAAAAATGTTTTCATCTGGTTTATTCATCACAAATCTTTAAGGAACCTTTGGCTATCTAATAATCATTTCATTGAAATAAATTTTGACAGATTAAGTGTGCAAAATCGATTAATCTAATCAAAACCGTTAGTTGCAGCCCTACATCTAGGGCTAAAACATCCATCCATCCATTTTCCATCACGCTTTATCCCTGCTCAGGTCACAAGGGGTGCTGGTGCCTGTCTCCAGCTGTCAATGGGCGAGAGGCGGGGTACACCCTGGACAGGTCGCTAGTCTGTCGGAAGGCAACACAGAGACAAACAAACACACTCACACATTCGCATCTAAGGAGAATTCAGAGAATATAATTAACCTAACAGTCATGTTTTTAAGCTGTGGGAGGAAGCCGGAGTACCCGGAGAGAACCCACACATGCTCAGAGAGAACATGCAAACTCCATGCAGAAAGAATGGAACCAATAACCTTCTTGCTGCAAGGTAACAGTGCTACCTACTGCTCCACTGAGCAACCCAGGGCTGAAACAATTAATCGGATTATTGTTATTAACAATTATTGATATAACCATCAACTAAAATGGCCTGTGAATCAAATGTACACACACACTCGTGGAACAGTGCTGGCATTAGATGTTGAAGCAGTGTTGCACCGTGTTTCAGACTGACTGACTGATGCCACAGCTACGGCTGCCATGAAACCACATCAAAAAGTTCTCCGGCCTTCTAGTTCAAAGGGATCTGGTCATAAATTATGATTCTCCCTGCTGTACTAAATCTGTGACAGGTGCCCTTGATGTAGGGAAGATTTTTCTAAATGAATTCATTCACTGCGACAAACCAGTCCAAAAGATGCTCCACTGTGGCTAAATGCTGTTGTGCCTCTTTGAAACCTGCCATTAGTTCACCCCCAACATTTATAATCCTACCGTACTCTTATCCTCTACTTCTTCTTTGTCATACAAGCGTATTGATTCCAGTTTTATAACTTGTAGTGCAACATCATGTTGGTTTTATCATCGCCGTCCTTTCAGCAGACACCTACTGCATTACCTCCACCTAGACGTTGATACGTCTACTTGTCTAATTTTCTGTTATACTGTGTCCCATCTAGAGCCAAACAAGACATGGTGTGTTACTATGGCAACAAAGGCAGCTCTGAACCCATCCGTCTGAATCCAGGTCTGTGTTTTTTTGTTGTTTTTTTTATTACGGTTGCTGTAGAAACCATTCATTTCCAGTCCACCTCTGCTCCTGGCCTCTGGCCCGTTCATGTTTGCCTTGACATTTCTGTTGGTGTCGCTCTCACTTTGGGTTATTTGTTGAAGCACATGACAAAAGGACTCCAGAGGACTATTGGTTGACACGGTGTGGATTTTTTTTGTGTCGTGCTTGTTTCTCCTTAGCAGGGATCTATGGCTTAAGTAATTCGCTCTTGGATACCCCGTGGAAGAAGCTGCTGAAAGGCAAGCAGCACTTCACCAGCATCGTCAGCGACCAGTCCCTGTCCTGCGACGGACTCGTCCAAGAGCTGCTCAACGTGCTTAATAATGAGGAGCTGTGGGTGACCAACACACAACAAACGCACAGCATGAAAAACACTGAAAAAAGTTTAAAACGTTGTTTTGTTTTTTTTTTTAAAGGAAAAGTCCAGTCAGCAGGGAATGATCAAAGGATCATTATCTGTACCTAACACTAATATGTTTGCGGTGATTTAATGAATTTAGCGGTGATCGGTAAAAAAATAAAACAAATTTTCATCGGATTCACCGAGTCTGGGAGCGGCCATTTTTGCCCAAATAAAGTAACACCTCACTCCTGACATCTTCTGGCAGTGATGTCACGGTGTGGTAAGCCTAGCGCCATTCTCCCCGCTTCGCAATCAAAATCAATGGGAACTACTAAACACATCTGCAATCAACAACAATTATTTAAGATTTCCAGAGGACTTCACCATTAAAAAGTGCGAAAGACGGTGTTGTCAAAAGTACACATATTTGTTACTTAAGTAGAAGTATAGATACGGCAGTTTAAAAACACTCTGGTAAAAGTTGAAGTATCAACTTGACCTCTTTACTCAAGTAAAAGTGAAAAAGTATGTTCTCCAAAAACTACTTAAAGTATAAAGTAACCTTTAACAAAAACAGCCAGATGCCACTATATGAACTGAAAGCTCAATTTTTCAACTATTTTGAAAAATTCTTTGAGATAGGGCCAATGATGATGGAGGTCTTGTTGGTCTCCGATGATCTTTTTCTGAATCCGACATTCTAGCATGGCATAGACAATTCACATTAGCAGTTTAAAGAACACCTGTTTGCTTCTGATGATTTCCTTTAGCTAACCAATGAGTGTTTGCATTATATGACTCATCCAATTACACTAGTTTTCACTAGATGTGGATGGCGCCAATGATCTGCATTGGATGGCGCACATGACGTGAAATAAATACTTATAAACATTAAACCGAAGCCAAGAGTAACAAGTAAGGTTTGTTTTAAAAATGTAAGGAATAGAAAGTAAAGATACTTGTGTGAAAATATAATGAGTAGAAGTAAGAAGTAGGAAGAAAAATAAGTAATGGAGTTAAGTATAGATACCTAAAAAGTGTACTTAAGTACAGTAACAAAGTATTTGTACTTTGTTTCTTGACACCTCTGGCGAGAGCTATAGTTAAACTGACAATGCCCACGTGCATGGCAGTTGGATGTTGTAATACATCGGGTAAAAGTAAAAAAAAAAATTCTTATTTCATCTTTCCGATTCCTGATGCTCCATGGACGGATTCGTTGTTGGATTGCCAACTTGAAGAGGGAGGATTTGCCATGGAACGCCAGAGAAAACACATGTAATATGTAGCCAACATTTCAAAGAAGAATGTTTTCAAGATGACTTGGATAATAGCGCGTTATGACAAACACCAGATACAGCATCGGGACTTGCTCAACAGCCGATACCGCACTGTGACATCACAAACCGGTAGTTGGCAGTAGTATTCTTTGACAAACATGGATGTCTCCAGTAAAGCACATTCAAATGAAAATTACTCTTAATTAAAAACACTTATCATTCATTGAACAGTATGTAATAAATACTTTCAGAAGTTTGAATTCTGAATATGACCGGACTTTTCCTTTAATTGTCAAACGTTTGAAGCATTACGTTTTTTTGTTTGTCTTTTTTGTAGTATGTAGAACAATTATCAAGTGAAGGTAAAAAAAACAAATAATCCTTCACTTAGAGTTTTTTTTCTGTTTGGTCATTTTGCTTCATAGAAACACACCTGATCCAATTCAAGAGAAGCAGGGTGACGGTTACAGCCAGTCCATGATCCAGGCTCTGTCGGCCGTATGTGTCCGCTCTCCTCATTATGGCACAAGGTCAGTGTCTCCTCCCTTTGACAAATCTCTCTATTTTTCCTCCTACTTTTTTTCCAACCCTGCTATGATGGGACTGACTGCAGGATCTCTTGTTCCCTGCAGTGAGTCTCTGGAGCAGGAGTGTCCAGACTATAACCCATTTATAGGGGATGTTTTGCGGTCCATGCATTCAGTTCAGGAACATTACAAAACTGACTGATCTATAAATTTCTAAGCAGCATTTCTTCCCCATATGCTGTAATTTTCCTTGATGTTGCTTATAACTCTTGATTAAAAACTTCAGAAATCCTGTTACTTTCTTTTAAACAGGCAAAGGTGTATATTTATATTTCAGATCAACAGGTACTAGAGGGTTCTTTCTCACGTTATAATATTCCACGTTATGTTTTTCAGCTTTTTTATTGTCATTACACTGTCACAAGCACAGAACAACGAAATGAACTCTCTGCATCTTAACCCATCCACTTGGGGAGCAGTGGGCTGCCATTCTGTAGCGCCCGGGGAGCAGTGTGGGGTTAAGGGTTTTGCTCCCAGAGTGGCAGTCTTTGGGAGTGGGGCTTGAACTCAAAACTTCTTGATTCCAAGCTCTATGCCCTACCCACTAGGCCACTCTCAGCTGCCGTTACTAATCAACATTAAAAAATGTAAAATTGAAAAAATATATATAATTTAAAAACATTTTAATACAGTTTTTATTTGAAATTTCTTCACACAAAGCAAAAAGGATTGAAAAAGTGGTTTTAGGTCAGAAGCCAGAGTGTTCATACACCTCGGAATTCAGTGACAGAAAAAAAGTGATGTATAAATGTGAGTGGAAGGTAAATTATTCGTTTTTTTAAAGTGTGTTTTTATTATTTTTTTAAAGAACATTGCAACATTCAATTTTCAATTTGCTTCAATTGCAGAAGTTGTTATAAAGACAATATTTCATAAGAACTGGAGCAACTCAGTAAGCACACAGACGGTTCATTGAACCATTGCTTGTTAGGATTATTTTAGTGATGATTTGACATTAAATCTCAAAATCTAAGACAAATAAATAATGCAGTTCCTTGAGTTTGTTAACCCTAAATCAAGCTGTTTTATAAAGGTTTACATGGGGATAAACAATGTAAAAAAGGAACATAGCACCTGTGTCAGGGAGAGTGTTTAGGAAAGGTTTAAAGGAATAGTACACCCAAAACATGATTAGCCTTCATTTTCTACTCACCCCCATGCTGAACAACACTCTGGAGTACTTTTTTGATATCTCAAATGCATCTGGAGATCTGGGAGGCTTCTTGCTGTCTGCTGACATTCAAATGGAGGTCCATAGCGCCCGAGACAGAAAGGTCCATAAAAGTCCACAAAAAACGTGTCAGTTTTCCTCCATACTGCTCGTCCAATGTATTCCAAGTGTCCTGAGTGGGTAGCGTCCAGAATTTACTCGAAACGAAGTCATTTAGAATGTTTTTAGAGCATAAACAGTAGTGTATAGCAGCGGTCCACAACCACCGGGTCATTTGGTACCGGGCCGCACAGAAGAAAAAAAAAAAAAAATTATTTTTTTTATTTTGAAAAATATAATAAATTGCGGTATTCTCTCCCAGTTACATCAGTCGGTGCATCTGTGCCTCTTGACACAGGTTAATTCAGTTCAAGACTCATCCTATCTATAACATCCTATCTTTGTGAAGCAGGATTTTCTCCGGTTACAGCGACCAAAACAAAGCTACGCAGCAGACTGGACATCAGGAGCACACTTTGTGTGTCATTGTCTCCGATTACGCCTAGATGGGACCGGCTTATTGTTTTATTTTTATTTTGTTTGTATTTGATTTTATGCCAGTCGTATCATTTTACTTTATAGTATGTACCCCCCCCGCCCGGCCGGTAAGCGCGCGGGGGGTTGGGGATTGGGTAAATAGGATCAAGTAAAAACAGGTCCGCCGTGCCGCACCCCCCCCACCCCCCACCCCCCGCCGGTCCGTGAAAATATTGTCTGTCATGTAGCGGTCCGTGGTGCAAAAAAGGTTGGGGACCGCTGGTGTATAGGATTTCCTACAAACGCGCGCCTGCGAGTTCATGAGTCTACGGAAACTGCGGCAGACCAAACCAGACGAAAGTGCGCATTCAGCGTCTGCTCTGCCGATAATGCAAGCGTAGAAGAAGAAATGTGCTGTTTACCTGTGCAAAGAAAGAAACAATGAAAGAAAAATGTCTGAGGACTTCATTGTTGAGGAAGAGCATGAGTTCTTTGCCGAGCTGAATGCGCACTTTCGTCTGGTTTGGTCTGCCGCGGTTTCCGTAGCGTCGTGAACTCGGATGCACGCGCTTGTAGGAAATCCTATACACTACTGTTTATGCTCTAAAAACATTCTAAATGACTTCGTTTCAAGTAAATTATGGACGCTACCCACTCAGGACACTTGGAATACATTGGACGAGCAGTATGGAGGAATGTTGACACGTTTTTTGTGGACTTTTATGGACCTTTCTTCCTCGGGCGCCATAGACCTCCATTATTTGAATGTCAGCAGACAGTAAGAAGCCTCCCAGATCTCCAGATGCATTTTACATATCAAAAAAGTACTCCAGAGTGTTGTTCAGCATGGGGGTGAGTAGAAAATGAAGGCTAATCAATTTTTGGGTGTACTATTCCTTTAAAGCAGGGTTGGATCATAAAGCATTATGCTAAACTTTATTGGTCTCTCTTTACTAATCTGACACTCATGGAGTAGCTAGAAAAACAAATCTATAAGAAGTCCTGTTGGCACTTAGAAAATAGTGGAAATCTATCCTGCTTTTTTAACGTTTTACTGTATATAGTCCAATTTTATTTTCTTTACTTTCCCCTCCACTTTGTACGGAAGAGGATTAGGGCCACAAAAAAAAAAGTTAACTGATTTTTAAATTTTATTTCAGTTTAACATGGGGATAAAGTCAGAATTCTGAGAAAACAGTCAGAATTCTAAAATTAAAGTCAGAATTCTGAGGAAAAAAGTCAGAGTTCTGGGAAAAAAGTCAGAATTTGGAGAAAAAAGTTAGAATTCTGACTTTTTTTATTGTTAAAATTCAGTCAGAATTCTGAGAAAAAAGTCAGAATTCTGAGATTAAAGTCAGAATTCTTAATTTTTTCCCCATACTAAACTGAAATAAAATTTAAAAATCAGTTAACTTTTTTTTTTTTCCCAGTGGCCCTAATTCTCTTCCGTAACTTTGTGCTCCTGACATGAAAACATATAGAAATAAATTTAGTTGTGTTTTTATTCCTTTAATAAACAATTTCTGTACGGTGTGATCCCTGCCTGATCATTATTGGGTGACGTAATTTGTCTTTCTTCTTCTTTTCCAGGACCAACACAATAATCCTGATAGATGCAGAGGGGAACGTCACCTTCACAGAGCGCACAATGATCGACTTTGACACAAGCAAATGGAGCACCAATTCCTTTCGGTTCAACCTCCAGGCATGAAGACGAGTTAGAGGAGACCAACTCTGTGCCTTTCTGCAACAGCTTTTCCTCCGTCGGCCAATCGACTGCAGCTGCTCTTCCCAGAAAGACTGGCCTGTAGCTGCAAACATGAACTACCTGTCATCAATTTAATTTAAAATGCTTCTTTAAAAACAGCTGTAATAATCTAGAGAGAAAATGCCAAAGGACAATAACATTTTTATGAATAAAATTGTTTTATCTACATGTCACAGAACACACTTGTTTGGATGCGGGAATGTCTAACCTGCTGTTTTCTGGTTATCATAAAATCTTCATGAAAACATTGAATCTGTTTGGAGTCAGATTTTCTAACCTTAAATAAAACAACAATTCTTTCAGTTTTAGGACTAAATGTTAAAAGTGTTGTTTATTGATGCATTTATTACATTAGATTAGATTACATTAGCGTATTCAAGCCATCTTAGGGAATCCAAAAACAAAAGATTTTGAATGCAAGTTGTTTCAGGTGATAATCGTTTGCCATCCTCTGTTGTTTATGGGTGAATTTCCAACTATTTGACAAGTTAAACGCTTCATCCAAACACTCAAGCTACCGAATGGTTGAAAATTTTTTCATTCAAATTAGTTTCACTAATTGTGGAGTCATTTCTAAATTCCAAATGATAAAATGTGATTTTTAAGAAGTTGGTATCTCGCATCAAAGGACCCACTTTAGTTTATTTCTTCAGCATAAAAAGTGTTTTACAGGCTATCAAAGCAACAGGGATAATTCCACTCAAACCGAACCCATCAGAGTTTATCTCCACTGTTTATGGGAAATCTTTGAAACTAAGTGATTTATTTTCTCCATGCTGATTTGAAATTTAGATAAAGAAGGTGACTCTCACTTTAACTAAAATCTTTTTTATTTTTTTAATTTAAAACAATTTTGGTTCAGGAGCAATGATGATAAAAAAAAACATCTCAGAAGTATGAGAGCAGAAATTAGTGGCAGAAGTTTGAATTTATAGTGAGTTTTCTCTGATTCCCACATAAACTCACATTTTTATAGTAACTGAACTTTATTGATCTCGCACTGGAGAAACTCACCTCTGCATTTAACTCATCCCCTTTGGGAGCAGTGGGCTGCCATTGTGTGGCGCCTGGTGAACAGTGTGGGGTTACGGTTTTTGCTCAGAGACCCAGACTGCAGGCTGTGGGGATTGAACTGGGTAATTGCAACCTTCTCATAGCTGCTCTAACTACAAGGCCAACAATCCTGCATCATTTGACCAGATGTTTTAGTCAGCATTCTGACATGTCTGGCTTACTATCCTGTCATAATCATCTTGGTTTTATCTGGTTGAGTTGTTTTTATCTCACCACAGGCAGGACCTAAGAACACATTTCATAAATTTCCAATATGGCTGACACAATGGGGCTTTGAGGATGTCATTTACTCAACATAATGGTCCCTTAAAACCTGCTTATATGTGATCCATTGGACATTCAACTGTTTTAAGGTTTTTTTTTTTTCTTTACAGTGTCCTATGTGGCAATACGGAAATAAGAATAATTGTCTTGATGCCAAAAAGAGTCCAACAGAGTGGAGCAGCATGGCTATCACCATAGTGTTCCGCTTTATGTATGCATGCAAATAACTTTATTATGATTATGCAGGGAGTATTGCAAATTATAAAGACATTGCAATGTCAGTAGTATATGGAAGGAAAAACAAGAAAAAGGAGAAAAGATGAAGGAAATGCATAGTCTTTTCTACTACCTGTGGTATTGTTGCGTTGCAGCGTTGTCGAAAAGAGTGCTATCTACAAAATTATTGAATGCCTACTTAATTCTAAAGGTTGATTACACAATTGTTCCAATGAGACATTTATTTAATCAATAACTGGTTTAATAGTTGATAGGTTCATATTAAGTAAAAATATATTACTTTTATAGTTGTTTTTTTAATGAAGTTTAGTGTCAGTAAAGCAGTTTAAACCTGTTTAATATACCCTACCATTTCTGACATTAAATGTTGTCAAAGATCCTACCAGATGCATGTTGATAGCTATAAAAAGCATGTGTTCAAAGATGCTAAGGAATCTTTTTCCACATGAAGTCAGGGTTTAACTGTATGCTCCAGCCTTTGTGTGGATTAAGAGAAAGTCCACAGTATATTCAAACTTATGCACCCAATATTTGCTTTTAGAAATAGCTGAAGGTGTGAGATCCATCATCTTTCCTCCCTGGAGACAGAACTTTTTTAATGCATCATTATAAACCCAAAGTAATAAGACAGTTTACTTTATATTTATGTATTGTTTATCTTTTTTTTCTGTTATCCAAGCTCTTTAAGTGAAAAATAACACGTTTCACGTATGCAATATACCTAATTTTAAAACAGCATCCCAACAGCGACATCTGCTGGTCAAATTAACAAACTAATAGTTATTTTTGGCACGATGAAGTACGTTATAGAAATTTTGTTTTGTGTGTGGTGGATTTTCAATAAAAAAATAAATAAAGCTTAAATATTTTTTCGTTTGCTCTGGTGTTTTAAACTGTTCGCATCCGTTTTGGAGGATACTCTATTCAATAGAGTTTATTGAATGGATGAATCTTACGTCACTCAGCATGGGGAACGCAGCCATTGGTCTGTTGACCAATCAATCACCATGGAAAACGCCGGTTCTTGAGGGCGGGATTTGTGAAAGCTCCACCTGTGCCGTGGTTTCCTTTCAAGATGGCGTTGCTGCCGCGGGAGCAGTGTGGCTGCTGCTGGGAAATAAAATCATTTTAAAGGGTGGTGGAATCCTAAGAAGAGAAACGTTTGTCACACTTATTAGTGAGTAGATCACCAGCGTTTTCTCAAGCTTTTTAATCGTTCGCAAAGTGTCTTTTCAAACGTCAGTGTTAGCTTGTTAGCCGCTTAGCAATGACGCTAGCATTACAGTGTAGGCCTAACGAGCAGCTACAGACTGAAAGGATGCTCACTTAATAATTTTAAACTAAAGAGAGTTTTATTTTTAAAAAAATTACAATTATTATCAAACTACGGAAGAGGATTAGGGCCACGGGAAAAAAAGTTAACAGATTTTTAAATATTTCAGTTTAATATGGGAAACAAATCGGAATTCTGACTTTAATCTCAGAATTCTCACTTTAATCTCATTATTCTGACATCAATCTCACAATTCTGACATCAATCTCACAATTCTGACTTAAATCTCTGAATGTTGGATCTTAATTTAGATGAGCACCATGTAGGAAGAGATGTGGGAACTCTCAGCTTCACTGACGAAGATGTGTTTTTTTGGGAGGGCCAGCAACACATTGGAGGAAAATGATGGAATTAGGAGACCTTTTACGTGCCCGAGGGGTCCCTGGTGATGCTATTTCATTAATAGAGGAGCAGAAGGTGATTAAAACAAGAGAGCTAGTTTTGTCTCTAAAACAGAGATGGCTACGGCTTGATGCTAACATGTTTGTTAGCTGTCAGAATTCTGAGATTAAAGTCAGACTTATTTTTTTCAGTGACCCAAATCCTCTTCCGTATCAAACCGACAAATCATGCTTTAGCAGATTACGCATATAATGGAATGAATGTCTAAATGCATTTAAACCTGACATATACTCTGTGGTCATTTTCCCCTTTTATCTCTTAGATGTCCGCATTGGAGCATGGTCAGCGCCGCTGTTCCAAAATAAGCTGAATGCATTGTGATTTCCAATAATTGAGACAGTGATTCTGACAGCTGTCTGCATTAATGAAAAGAGCAATGTAGTCAGCTTAGCATATTCTCATCTGGTACGCGGTCTAAACAGGGAGGATCTTCTGCTTTTTGGGAATCTGCAAAGATTATATGAATTGTCAGTTTTCTATAAGGTTTAGGTATATTTTTTTGCAAGCAACATGGATATAGATGAAGTTCTCCCCCCTCTTCCTCTGGAGCCACCTGATGATTTTGATCTAGACCAGAGCAGAGCACCTCCACCACCTCCCCTGCAAACGTCCAGTGACGCAGAGGTAATGGACGTTAGCTCTGGTGGTGATGGACACACGCACACCCCAGGGGATGGGGAAGCAACACAGGAGCTTATCAGCAAGGGCTCCCTTATTTTCTCTACACACCACACCAATGAAGCTAGTCCCAACCCAACGTGCCCCAGAACAGCCCGCCATGCTCCTCAGGTCACCAAGTTCCTGCCAGACCTGAAGCAGCTTAGAGATGTTAAGATCAGAGTGAGCTTCACTGAGAGCAGCAGCAGCACTAGCAGTAACAGTAGCAAAGAGAGGAAGGTGTTATATACAGGTGAGGGCCAAGAGACAGGAAGTGATGATTGTTTAACTCATCTCAATGGTGAAATGCAAGACATGGAAAGTTTGTTAGAGGTTGCTGAGAGTAGCAGCGGAGCTGGGAACGCAGCAGGCAGCAAGTCGGAGGAGAGTGCTGTAGACCTGGAAAATAAGGTAGAGTTTGCCGTTTTGGATGAGTTGGAGGACTACTACGACATCCTGGTGGGTGATGGGGAGCAGGGCGGCTTTAAATCCGACGCCATAGTTCAGCGGGAGCCGGTGGACGACGAGGCTGCTGTCTACGGGTATGAGGTACGTCTGAGCTCATGTTTTGCATCTTGCCTGCTCATTTTGAGATTGTGTTGTCAGGTTTGTGCAGAGTCCAACCTTCATTCCCGTGTTTCAATTTTACTTTGACCTTTTAAAATGGCTGTATATAATTAAAAAAAAGATAAAAGTTCTTTTCACAATGGCAAACAGAGCCTTACAAAAATGATTGGCTCCTGTACCACCTTTCTAAAATGTTTTATATTGAGATTTAATTTGCTTGAGAGACACAAACTGCAGCAAAAAGGAAGTGGCCAACCCGGGTTCGAATCCGACCTGTGGCTCTCCCCTTCTCTCATACGCCCTTTCCTGTCAGCCTACTATCATAAAAAAGCCACTAGTTAGGGCTGCAACAACAAATCGATAAAAATCGACTTTTAAAAGCGTTAGCAACGAATTTCATCATCGATTAGTTGTGTCGCGCGATTAATGCGTCATCCGCCGCCGTCGTCATCACATCCACTTAACTGAAACGGGGGAAGAAAAAAAATACGGCAGCGCTGCAGATGCAGTGTTGCCAACTCAGCGAGTTTGTCGCTATATTTAGCGACTTTTCAGACCCCTCCAGCGACTATTTTTCAAAAAAGCAACTAGCGACAAATATGGCGACTTTTTACGGTGTCACTGTCGGCTTTTGGAGACTCTTACGTGAAAGCATGTATCGTTCCTCCAGCGGCAGCTGCTGCCGTGGGGCGCCTCCCCCAACCCTGTACAGACTGCAAACGAAGCGCGCATGCGCCGGGATTGACGGCGCAAATTGATCACAATAATTAAAATACCCTGCGCTTTGTAAAGTGAAAAAAAGTCGTAACATGCAACTTTTGTAAAAACAAATGAACATGGCACGGAAGCACCACTGTTATGATGCAGCACCTGAAAAGGAAACACATTGATCAGCTGATCAGCAAGATGAGTAACCATGTTTGTTTGGTTTTAAAGTGGGGAAACGTTACGTTAGTTTCTCAGGTAGCTCATCTGATGCTTTCCTTACCGTGTTAGTAGGTTACAGACAGTGATAAGGTTGGCTACTTATTTTACTTTTAATTTCATTTGAATTAGCTTAAGCAGCGTTTATATTTTCTTTATAAATAAATTAACTTGCAAATTATGAGGGCAAGGCTTTTAAAGTTTAAATCTTCTGGCAGAGATAAAGTAAAGAAGATCCTGCAATTTATGGAAGTAAAGCAGAATAAAATCCAGCAAGATCAGTAATATGTCAATTAATTATATGCTACATTCCCATGTAAATATCTGTCTTTGGAGGATGTGTTTTTTAGCACCCCTAGTTCTCTCATTTTTATTCCAAATACAATTTATAATTTGAATCACATGGCTATTTTTATCTCTATGGTTAAGTATTTTCTCAAGTAGCAACTTTAACTGCTATATTTTCTGTCTTAAAAGGCAGAACTCTTCTAGTCTAAAAAAAACTCATTTGTTGAAATGGGGGGGCCTATTGTTTGAACCCCTTAGGGGCTTTTAAAAACAAAAATGCATGTCTTTTTTTGCGCTTTATGAAACAAAGTACCCTATATTTTGTGGATGTACAGCTACATTTCTCATGTAAGTTTGTGTAGTTTTAACACAAACATTTATTTTTCATATTGCACCAGGACAGTTAATGAGCAACCTGTACTTGTGTGCTTGTTTTGGAGAAACAAAAAATCTCAAAATGGTAGACCATGTGGTGTAAATGCTTCAGTAATGTTTTCTTTATGTTATATTTTCCTTCCTCATTTGGAACGGATGAACATCCCTTTATATCGGCTGGTGGTTTGATCTGTTTGGTTGTGTCTCTGTACGTGAGCTGTTGCTGTTGGCCCAGCCTAACCACTTACTGTTCCAGGAGGGCTTCGACAACGACGTGGATGCTCTTCTGGAGGAGGGCATGCCAGTCCCCAAAAAGATGCGCCTAGCAGACGACAAATACGCTGCCGGCGACAGCGATCACCAGTCCGACGGAGACGGTGAAGGGGGCGTTCAGCCGATGGTGACCAAAATAAAGACTGTCCTGAAGAGTGAGTGGTGGGATGCTAATTGTTTGGTGCCGTCTATTTCTGATTGGTTAACTGTGGCTTATGGATGTGGCTTATCATAGTAAAGATCTGTGAAAAAGGTTGGATTTATGTGAAGGAAGATTGATTTAGTGCTTATATGGTCATCATTTATATTTTGCCTTGATATTATTGGATTACTGATAATTATTCTCTATTGATTTAATCCAAAACAGCTTTTTGTTTACATGGTAGTTTTATTCCATCTTACTAAATCTTTTTAAATCTTCTTTTTGTTGTTGTTGTTTTTTTTTTTACGATGTTGCTGCATTAACATCGGGGTAAATTTTAAGGTATTTTAAGCTTTGCTGATGATGCATATAAATGTGTGTCTGTAGGGATGTCCTGCTAAGTTTTGACCCCTGTATTGCAGTTTTGAGTGTTGACCATTAGTGATATTAATGCGATACATCAGCATGACTCTTTATGAAAAGAGAATGTTTCATATTTTACAGAGCTGGGCTCCTTAACCCTGGTCCTCTATGGTTTAGGCTTTCTCACACCCGACCTAAATAAATAGGTGATTAGCCGCCCCTGAAATTCAATTCCTTTCAGTTTATTTATGTAGCACAAATTCACAACACATGTCATCTCAAGGCACTTTATAGTTCACCAGATCTTACAGTCAAATTGATTCAAAGTTTTCTATCTAAGGAAAACCAGTTCATTGCATCGACTCATTGACGCGAAGGGAATCCCTCACACTAAGCATGCTTGTAAGCTGCTGTATATCCACTGGGCCAGGGTTTCCGCGGGTCTTTAAAAATCATTAAATTATAATTTTTTTAATTAAGGCCTGAATTTCATAACTATGATATTAATATCACAATGTTGTTGTTTTTTTAATCATTGCTAATTACCTTATCAAGGCTGCACTCGAATGAAATATTCTAGATGGGTTGTTTAAAACGAAAGTCTAGCTGGCATTAACATTCATTAAATGAGATTATTTTGGCATTTAAAATGCTTTATTTAGAAAAAAATGTTTATAAAAACTATTAAATGAGAGATATATATATATATATATATATATATATATATATATATATATATATATATATATATATATATATATATATATATATATGCGCTCAAAACTGCTTCCGGTTGATCGTAAAGCCGTATGTTCGGAAAAGAAGCTCGAGGCGGAGAAAAAGCTGTAAAATGGGGAAAATGCTAATTTCAACCAAATTGGCTGGAAATCGAGGAATTGCAGCCTGTCGACGGTAAAGATGAAGAAGGAATTTGCCGTGCATATATGAGAGTCATGGGTACTTGTTGATCACATTAAAATAATTTTTAAGAGCATTAAAAAAGCATTAAAATAGTGTTGCTCATTCCTGTATACACTCTTTAAAAATTCACTGAAATTTGACCAACCAAGGAGATATTTGTATTAAACAAATCAACATTCTGGCTGAAAAACGTATGCAGTTTACTTTTGGTCATAGAAAGTTAAATATTAATTTATAATCAGTTTTATAATCAGTTTTTGCCGCCATCATCTGCTATTGCCGCCTGAGCTTAAATAATCTGCGTTGAACTGCAGTGAATCATGGGAAACAGGGATGTTTGTAGGTAGCAATATAGCTTTGCTAAACTAAAACCTATGTCCCGGTTGGTCAAGATTTCACTGAATTAGGGCTCAAACAACTAATTAGATTAATCAATTATTGTAATCATCGGCAACTAATTTAGTTAAGCATTTTGCATTTAAGATAAAGATCTTTTTCATCTGTCAATATGCTCTATCCAGAACTCCTCAAGTAGAAAAGTTTTAGTTTTACCAGTTTGAGGCCCCGTCCACACGAAGACGAATCCTGGCCTAAACGCACAAATTTTTCACCAAACCAGCCTCTCATCCACACGAAGCCGGCGTTTCGGGGGTCTGTAAACGATCTTTTTTTTATTCAGCCTTCAGAGTGGGAAGATTTAGAAACGCAGTTTTCGCGTTTCCATCTTTACGCTCTAACCGCATATTTTTTTTTACAGGCATGCGTCATAGCGTCGCCTCTAAACACGCATGCGCGACACATCACAACAACAATGGCGCCGTTGCTGCTAATGCTACTCACCCTGCTGTCGGGCTTACAACAGAATCTTCTTCTTCTGGACGACATAGTTCAGCACCTGAATTTGACTTAACCACGAAAATGGACCCGCAGGGCAACCATGTATAAATATTAGTGCGCATGCCCAACATTTCGTCGCTTATTTTTGCTTTGGCACCACAGCGCCACTTACAGGCCTGGCATACATTTTGCAGCTTTTTCATGCATTCGTGTGGACGATCACATTTATTTTACGTCTCCGTCTTTACGGCAAACGTTTTGGAAAATATCAGCGTTTTGTGTTCGTTTTGACTTCGTGTGGACGGGGCCTTAAATTTGTAAAAAGTCTTCTTTAAGGAACCTTTTCATATCCGATTATTAATCCATTAGTCAGAAAAATTATCGACAGATGAATCCTTTTGCGAAACACACTGAATCTAAAAAAAGGCTCCTAGCTTTCCTGAAACCTATGGCCTGAGAATTTCCTAACCTGCACACCGTACTCTGCTGCCCCTGATGACGGCTGAGAATTGAAAGCTATAATTTAATAAAGCAGTGCTCGAGCAGAGGCGCATCTAAAACATGGAGTGCAGTGGATCCTGGGGAACAGGGTTGAACACCCGTTTCTTGCGTTTTTTTCCATGAGCTGCTTTTTAATAAGTGATGTATTATTTTCTATCAGTTTTACTCATTTTAAATGTCTTCAGCACAGGATCTGCTCCTTGCCGCCTGTAATGCAGGAACAGAGATGCTCTAACCGAGATGCCTGCCTTTCCTTTTCCTCTGGCAGGTCGAGGCCGTCCACCAACGGAGCCTCTTCCCGATGGCTGGATCATGACATTCCATAATTCAGGCATTCCAGTCTACCTGCACAGAGAGACCAGAGTGGTCACCTGGTCCAGACCATACTTCCTTGGAACGGGCAGCATCAGGGTGAGAAGCCACGAGGGTCACTTTGGAGACACAGTGATAATTAGAACGGCTTGTATGTATGTATTTATGGACAGTAGGTTCGTGGCGATTAGTGGCTACTACAGCGGGGATTAAAGTATTCCGGTTCATAGATTGCCCGTTGGTAAAAAAAAATAACCCGAAAATAAATGGACTGTAAATAAATTAAAAAGGCAATTGAAATCCCTCTTGCGTTAGTCAGCCAATGGTAGCAAAGGGGCGCTCTGAAACTAACAGTATTGAGCCTGATTTATTCTCAGAAACAAGGTTGTGTACGTTTGTGTCACAGTGAACGCAAACAGGCCCCCGCTCCTTCCGCAGACACTCTAGTGCACCTCTCCAAAATTGTAGGTGACCGCAGACAGGAGGCGTCTGATTGGTCATATCTAGATCCGCTTTACACTATACGCATTTCCTGTTTGGTACCTTACCGGCTTGTTTTGTTTGTATGACCGCCATTGTGGAAAACGACTCGTGAAGATGGACCAGCTAGGACAGCGAGGTGCACGAGAACGCTGGGACCCTTTTCCCACCTGGATCCCCGCTCTTTTTCGCCCTCATGTCCCTCTGTTGTCGGACAAACTTGCCCCCACTTTCTCACCGCCTCGGCTGTATCTAGACCCACAGCTAGTTCATGATTGTCCCTCTTGCGTTGTAGCGTGGAATAACATAGCGCAGACCACACTTCAATATTGGGCATAAATCAAAAATATCTGCGACAAGCTCAATGCAACACACTGCTGCAGAAGTGCGGAAGCCAAAAAGAAGAAGGGGGCGGGTTCTGTTCTTGCGGTCGCGCACACTGCACGTTTGTCGGGAGCTACGGCAACATTTGATGTACCGATGTCAATAACTGACCGTGTATTGTGTGAAAGATAAGCGGTTGTGTTTTCTAGATATAGATACACTTTTCCCATCTCCTGAATGTTCACTTGAAATAGGTAATTTTCCATCCTGGAGACAAAAGGATCTAGGGTACTGAAATCTCTGCGTTTCTCCTGCAGAAACACGACCCGCCTACCAGCAGCATCCCCTGCTTACACTACAAAAAGATGAAGGACCAGGAGGAGAGGGATCTGAATGGAGAGGTAACGTCTAACGTGGAGGAGCCTCCGGTGAAGGCTGCTGACGGGGAGAAAGCAGAGGAGCAGGAGGAACACCCGTCATCCACCGTGGAGGAAGGAGAGAGTGTGGAAGATGGCGTCGTGCAGAATAAAGAGGCGCAGGCGTGCGACACCGCCCAGGGAGCCTTAGGGCAGGTCAAGGCCAAGGTGGAGGTGTGCAAAGATGAGTCCATAGGTGAGGACTTTGAGTCTGCTGATGGCTTTTTTCATTTCGGTATAAATTTGGATTCAATTGATTGAATCTTATTTCCCTGCAGAACTTGAAGAATTCCGTCTTTACCTGGAAAAATGCTTCGACTTTGAACAAGTCACCGTTAAGAAGTTTCGCACCTGGGCCGAGCGCAGACAGTTCAACAGAGACATGAAGAGGAAGCAGGCAGAATCGGAGAGGCCCATCCTTCCTGCCAACCAGAAACTCATCACACTGTCGGTCCAGGACGCTCCCACTAAGAAAGGTGAGACTTATGGAAACGCCACACAGACCCGGAATCATTTCCCCGTCAGAAGGAAGCTGATAGCTCATGATGTTTTTATTTATGCAGAGTTTGTCATCAACCCGAATGGGAAGTCTGAAGTTTGCATCTTGCATGAATATATGCAGCGGGTCCTGAAGGTTCGGCCTGTTTACAACTTCTTTGATTGTGGTAAGTGGCTGTTTAGTTTCTCCATTAGTTAAACGGCCTGATGCTGCAGTAACATGGATGCTTCGTTCTGTAGCTGAAGATAACGTGTAACTCTAATGTGTTTTCCATTCATTTGTACATTTATTTTTACTTTTCTACAGTCACTTGCAGAAGTATTAATACATCAAACTGAGCATATTGTCTCAATACAAATAAAAGCTATTTTATTTTGAGATTATGGGATGGAATAACACAAGGTAGGGAATATATGTGAAAGGAGATGCTTGCTTATTGCTCCCTAAAGCATTTTGCATATGGATGTGAAAAATCACTGAAACGTTTGCGGCAGAGATGAGCTGAATTACTTTGCTGTGTACTGGAGGCTCATCGGGATAAACTACAAAACAGTTCCTGGTCATTTCTCAATTCACAAAAACGCGAGTACGTACTCATGTCCTCGCCAAGTACGTTCTTGAGAAGATTACAGGAAAGTCTGGACTTTGTGAGAACGGGAGCATAAAAATTAGTTAATTGGAACAGAAGCGTACTCGTGACGTCGCCACAGGCTCTGCTCGTCTAGAGCTGCATTTCATCTCCTGTTATTAATAGTCTCTAGATAATGATAAATTATAACTTTTTTCATTTATTGGGGGAATAATAATTAACACAGTCAGATAAATACAATTCAAATAAACATTTTTGCTAAATAAGACAAAAAAAATCGCCATCAGAGCCAGCGGTACTTCACACACGGCTATGCAGAGAGAGGGCTGCTGCAGACGGGCTGCCGTTAGCCTCAGAGGTCCGCTGGTTGCCGCGGTCCTCAACTTTCTTTTATTACATATTAAATCGGTAAAAGGACCATATAGTGACGCTTTAAAGTATAAAATCTTCGCCTCAAATGATCTTAAAATGTACTTTTATTGAACAACAGCAACATTTAACTTAATACTCTGAGCTCTGCGAGCGCTAACCTGGAAGCTGCGGCTGGCGCCGCAGTGCATGCTGGGACAGCTGTCAATCTCAAAAACGTACAAGTCTGCTCTGATGCATGCTGGGTAAATGGGGAGGGGCAAGAACAACATCCCGGGACTTCGTCTGTTGTTGGTCTGCTGTTCTTGTGAATTGGAACGGTACTAGGGCTGAGGCTGACGCACATGAGAACGCACAAGTACGCATATTGCGAGACGGCCTCTGATTTATTTCGAGGCTAAAGCTAAAAGCCGTTCACCTACACACCAGGGAAATAGTCAGCTCTCTTTCTACTTTTGGTTTATTCTATTTAATTTTTTTATCTTTGTAAATCCTCACAGCAGACCGTCTTCTTGTGCTCCACAGAGAACTCAAGCGAACCCTTTGGTGCTTCAGTCATCATAGACGGAGTCACTTACGGCACAGGAACTGCAAGCAGTAAAAAACTGGCCAAAAACAAAGCTGGTAATTTTTCATTCACACTTTCCTGTTCCTTCGGTTATCTTCAGATCAGTGTGTCTGCTTTTAGTTAACAGGATTCCTAATAGGGCTGAAAAATTAAATGCATTAGTTCAAATCGTGCAGATGCTGAGTTTTGCGCTGATTACATTTAAGGAGAGTAGGACACCAAATAGGTTAGGGTTGTAGCTTTGCAGCACACAGCAGGAGATGGAAGGATAGCAGCTGGATCCAGACATGAAGCTGGAGGTGAGAACATGTTCATGCAGGGTTGGAGTCCTTCAATAATTCATGTGCTTTTGGCCGTGCTGCAGAAACTCAAAAAGAAAAAAATCGAAATTAAGTTTTTTGGCAAATCAACACTGTCCTACACAGCTTTGGATTATTATGGAGGTCCAGATAAGGAGGGCAGATGGTGTGGGGAAAATATAAGATTTTCACACCTTTTAACTTTTAAATGTAAAACCTAATAGATGCGAGGATAAATTGATTCATATTAAAATGATACTTATGCTACGTTCAAACCACACATCAAAAAAGCTTCTCCTGCTTTATTTTAATGCATGTTCACATTAAGATCCGACACATCTCAAGTGCATCTTTGATGCTCCTGAAGCTTTTCCAGTAAAGTGTGTCCAGATGCGTCTGATGCTGCTGTGTTCAGTGGTAGAGAGCGCCTTTGCTTTATTTGCTCTTATAATTGGTTAAAAAATAGTTTTAATATATTTTTAAGGTAGAAAGTCCACCTGAAAAAGTAATCTGTGCAGTCGGTTCGTCAAGATTCAGATCCTGCCTTCAAATATTTATTAGCTGTCGGAGCCAGGCAGACCCCTGTGTACCGGGATTGCGCTTTCATTGAGAATCCCCAGCAGCAGCTGCCTCTGGCCAGTCACCAGAATGAGATGTTAGCAGTTCTCCCGTACGTAATCCAAACTGCAGGCACCAGAATAATAAAAGTGGAAATTTTTTGCAAGCAAGTTTTGACGCAAGTTAATTTAGGCGTTAATAAACAGTTTCAGAGGAGTGATCATAAAGATCTGCATCAGCAGCGCTGTGTCTGCCTCCCTGCCAGCTCACAGATCTGTCTCTGATTGGTTGATGTGGAGCGTCGTGCAGCAAAAGTAAAAAATTTTCCAACTTCAGCAGCAGCTGGTTGGGAAGCACGTCAGATGAACAGAAGCTTATGAGGCGCTGCTCAGATGTGTCAAGATGAGCTGCTCCTGCTGCTTGAAACGAGCTGCAGGATCTTCTGATGCTAATTGATGAGTGTCAACCATAGAGTTTGCATGTACACCTTCTGCTTTTGCTGCTTCCATCATGTGTGGTATGAACCTATCATTAATGTTTGACTGGATGCAAACACTTTCCAAATGGGAACAGTTGGCTGCTCTTCTTTAAACAACTTCAAATCAGAGTTAAACTGAGTTTCTAATCCTCAGACTAGATAAACGATGTTTCTTTTTACACAAACCAAGTTTTAGAGATGCTGCTGGTGTGAGTTGATCTATACTAAGGAAAATCAGTTGATTGAATCGACTCATTGACTCAAAGGCAATCCCTCACACTAAGCATGCTTGTAGCGACAGTGGAGAGGAAAAACTCCCTTTTAACAGGAAGAAACCTCCAGCAGAACCAGGCTCAGTGTGAGCGGCCATCTGCCGAGGCCGACTGGGGTTCAAGGAGACAGAAGCAGACATAGAAAAAGCAGCTGTAAAAGGCGGCCCCATCCAGGAAACACACAGCCAGGCAGACGAGCTCCGAGCCAGCTCCCATGTCAGAGGATGAAGAGAGCACATCCAGCCAGTCACAGTCAGAGAAACAGGACTACACTAAAAATTAGGCCAGGCTCCAACATCTAGAAACAAAGGTGTTGATGGAAGCAGCACAGCTGATATTTCTCTCCAGGATGGAGTCACAGCCAAACAGGAACAGACGAGGCGAAGCTGATGCATCTGCTGATGTGGAAAAATTACAAAGAGCTTTGATTTAAAAAGAGAGAAAAAAAAGCAAATGTGATGAAATCCTGTTTAGACCAGGTTTTTCATTTCTTTGATTTCATATTTCCTAGGCATATATGTTGTGGTAAATTGAAGAAGCGAGTTAATGTAGAATGCGCTGACTTATGACCTTCTGTGCACTTCAGCCCGAGCTACACTGGAAATCCTCATCCCTGACTTTGTGAAGCAGACCTCGGAGGAGAAACCCATCGAGGGCGATGAACTAGAGGTACGTTGCTGCACTGATGCCAGAACCTTTAGCCCTTCAATCAGAACTTGTTTCCTAAGAAAACCTTCATCTGAACCTGAATGTCTTTCGAATAGGACTCTAACTGTTGTGCTGTTTTTCTGTCCTGCAGTATTTTAATCATATCAGTATAGAAGACTCCAGAGTGTACGAGTTGACCAACAAGGCTGGTCTACTTTCACCATATCAGATTCTTCATGAGTGCCTTAAAAGGTAAACTAGATGCTAGATCCTTTCATTGCATTTACTCGCTGCAGATTTTATTTAGAATTCTCTTTAGAAATATACAGTATATTGAAAAAGATTATCTTAAATGAGGATTTTACTTTAGCACAACCAGGACTGTGGTCTGAAGGTCTCTTTTGTTTTAGAAACCATGGGATGGGTGACACCAGCATTAAATTTGAGGTGATCCCTGGAAAGAACCAGAAGAGTGAATATGTTATGACATGTGGGAAGCATACAGTGAAAGGCTGGTGTAAGTAGATTCGGTGAGCTCCATCCTAACTTTCTCACCTTGTAGAGGTTTTAAATGAATTATGCTCCCTGGTTTTCTTCACCACCAGGTAAGAACAAGAGGGTCGGCAAACAGCTGGCATCTCAGAAGATCCTACAGATGCTCCACCCCCACGTTAAGAACTGGGGCTCACTGCTGCGCATGTACGGCAGAGAAAGCAACAAGATGGTCAAAAAGGTGAGGCGCCGTCTGGATCGGCTTTAAAAATGTCACGTCTACCTGATGGTGCAGAGCTGCGTTGGTTTAGTTTATTTTTAAAGGAAAACGTGGGTGGAGAGCTGTGTAGCTTCTAGTTCACGTGATAAACATGTTTTTCAGGAGAGTTCAGACAAGAGTGTGATAGAGCTGCAGCAGTTTGCCAAGAAGAACAAACCCAACCTTCACATCCTGAACAAACTGCAGGAGGAAATGAAGAAGCTGGCGGCTCAGAGGGTATGATTCAATGGCTTTATCCACTTCCATTATGGGGCACGTTCTAAAAGATACAGATCTGTATGATTTCCACATTTTAGTGAGGTTTGGAGAGTTACAGTATTTATTCCTAATGTCTGTTTCTGAAAGAAATGCACTAAACCGTTTAAAGACAAAAAGCTCTTGACAAATTAATCAGCATCAAGTTAAAGGTATAGTGGAGTATCATATTTTTCCGGCTGCATCATCAAAATAAGTGGTACTCCTAATTGTCAATCATTCTGTTATGTTTACCTAAGGCCGTCCTACGTGCTCGTCCCCATTTTCACTTCATGGTGGTGCATGGTGTCAAAAGTCCACACTTTTGTTACTTAAGTAGAAGTATAGATACTGCAGTTTAAAAACACAATGGTAAAAGTTGACCTATCAACTTGACTTAAGTAAAATTGAAAAGTATTTGCTCCAAAAACTACTTAAAGTATAAAATTATAAAGTAACCTTTAAAAAAACAGCCAGACGCTACTATATGAATTTAAAACTCACTTTTTCGACTATTTCAAAAAATTCTTTGAGATAGGGCCAAGGATGAGGGATTCTTGTTGGTCTCCGTCTCCTGATACGCTGTGTCCAACCTTTAAGACATTTCAACATCTTTTTCTGAATCCAACATTGTAGCATGGCATGGACAATTCACGTTTGCAGTTTAAAGAACACCTGCTTGCTTCTGATGATTTCCTTTAGCTAACCAATGAGTGTTTGAGTTATTTTAATACATTTTTTAAAAAGCTCAATGGAGCCGCAAGGGGGAGGCTAAAGAGCCGCATGCGGCTCCGGAGCCGTGGGTTGCTGACTTTTGCACTATATGAATTGAGAGCTCAAATTTTCAACTATTTTGAAAAATTCTTTGAGAGAGGGCCAAGGATGAGGGAGGTCTTGTATGTCTCCGATGATCTTTTTCTGAATCCAACATTGTAGCATGGCATAGACAATTCTCGTTTACAGTTTGAAGAACACCTGCTTGCTTCTGATGATTTCCTTTAGCTAACCAATGAGTGTTTGCGTTATATAACTCAACCAATTACACTAGTTTTCACTAGATGTGGATGGAGCCAATGATCTGCATCGGATGGTGCATATGACCTGATTTATAAACATTAAACTGAAGCCAAGTGTAATGAGTAATGTTTGTTTTAAAAATGTAAGGAATAGAAAGTACAGATACTTGTTTGAAAATGTAATGAGTAGAAGTAAGAAGTAGTAAGAAAAATAAGTAATGGAGTAAAGAATAGATACCTAAAAAGTTTACTTAATTACAGTAACGAAGTATTTGTACTTCGTTACTTGACACCTTTGCTGGTGATGAGTCTGACATAGTGGAAAAATTGCAAATCTTCTTTTGGAAAGTAAGGTTGTATGAGCGATGCAAACGGCAACTTTTAAACAGAGCGTGCACGAGGAGAAATGGTGCTGTGCATGCCCTCCCACGCAGTTAATAGGCGTCTTTTCAAAAATCCTCCCCTACACCTTTCATGTTTTTCAGATAAATCTAAAAATAAAGGATCATTTTTAAGGGTTTTCTACTTAGTTTTCAAACCTGTGGTTGTTACAGTGATCCGGCGCAGTTTAGAGGCCCAACTTGGCGCCGACACTTTATTTTAAGCTTGTTTTTATTGTGCAAACAGGAAGAAAATAAGTCAGTTTTCACACTGGGCTTTAAATATTCCACATTTGGTGCCTCGTAGTCCAGTTCTGGTGAGGTTAGGTTTTATAATTAGCAGATTTTCAGGATGTTATCAAAATTAAAAGATCTGAAACATTTCTGTAATACTTTTCTACAAATTTCCTGAAAGCACTTTATTTTCAGTTTGAATGTGAGTTGCAGCAACTTTTGAGAATCAGATTCAATAAATGGTGCATCAAACTAAATCACCTGTATGTGGTTTTTATTGCAATGATAAAAAGTCAGTAGTTTTGACCCTGAATGAACGAGATTTCTAAACTGTAAAAGAGGGGGAAAAAAACTCAAAAACATTTTGAGAAAGAAGGCAGCCTATATCTTACTTTAATTAAATGTATTCTGCTGAGTTTCTCACAGAATTATAAATTCTGTAATTTCCTCAGTTAATCTGTAAGGCTATACTAAATGCAATCCTTATGTTTTTCTCAGGAGGAAACAAGAAACAAACCCAAGATGACCATAATGGAGTCGGCCCAGCCTGGAAGCGAGCCCCTCTGCACTGTCGACGTATAAGTCTGGGGATCGCGGCACCTAAAGCCAGTCACTGCCGAAAACGGTGAATGGCATCATGGTGTCCAAACAAACGCATCACACTGATCAGACCAGTAGAGCTGCTCGCTGCTTCCTTCTGCTACATTTTATAGGTTGAGTGAACAGGTGCCAGAACAGGCCTGAATGCACTTACTGGAGCCTAGAGATTGAAAAAACAGTCTACCTCTCTAGATGCATCCTAAAAAAAAAACAAACAGACTTGATAGAATATGAACCACAATGCATGCTTATTTAACTGTAAAAGGAAACGCAAACATTGGTTTTATTGTCAGTGTTATTTCTGGAAGTCATTTCTTTTTAGTGCTTGAAGTTTTCTGAAGGGACTACTTACTAACGCTTGTATTTATACCATCCGTTTAATCAGAAAGCCAGTCGTTTTCATCATAGTTCAGAAAAATTTGGATGGCAAAGCATTACATTGTACCTTTTTTTTTTTTTTTTTTTTTTTTACTGAAAAGCTGTGGCGTTCGTTTGCATGACGAAGACGTGCGTTAACTGAATATTTGTATGCACTTGTGTGTCTGTGTGGTTCTTTTTCCAGTCATGCTGTCGTTTGGAGAATCAGTGTTTGCAAATCGTTCGGTCGGACGTGATGCATCATGACGACTTTGCGTTTTTTGTTTCTGCCTCCGCCGCTGTAGTAAAACCACTCTGGGGTCGGAGTACTTTTAGGTTAAACATTTCTTGAACTATTTAGCTTTTTGTTTTTCTACACTATATTCATTTTTCCATCTCAGCCCTTAAAAAATACAAAGAGTTCGCGACACGTTGCCTTAGTTAATCCATTTCATGAAGGGCTTAGAATAAAGAGTTTGGACCTAAAAATCCCCCTTCAACAGGAAGTGGAAAGACCAACCCCCGTTTACTTGATGAAGCATTTACTGAGGCAATCGGTACCTTCAAGACCGGCTGAGAATGATTAAAGGAAAGCGCAGAATTTTAGATTTGTCTTAATACTTTATGGGTGTTTTCCATCATTGTTAGAGGAAATCTTTTTAATTCTAAATAATATAAACCCTCTGAAGGCAGCCTTGTAAAAGTTGGAGGAACGTCGTATACCAAAGCTTACATCCAGTCTTATGCATTTTCTAAAAAGGTTCAGCTGTGGCACCGGCTGCAGCAGAAACATACTAACTGCTGTGCTTTTCCACTCTGTTTTAGAAGGCATACGTTAATATTGCTTTGAGAATGTTTCCCTCCATCTCTACATGTCTGTCTCACCGTGGTGTCTGAGAGAAATACTATACTGGTTTTATGTGGAGTTGTATCAATAGATTGTTTAAAAGTTGCTGCCTAGAAACTGTGTTGCAACCTGAACTCTTGACTTCAGTGATATTTGTTATGCAAAATAAAAATGTCTTTACTGTCAATTAGAATTGGTTTTATTCACACAAACAGACAAAACTTAGTACTTCTTTTTACATTTGAAGACTTTGTGAGCATTTAGATACAAGAGGGAAAAATATTATCCTAAAGATAGGAAATGTGGAAATTTAGAAAAAGAAAAGTAAATCAGTCTGGTCGATACTAAGTCTGCTGCTGGGAGTCGTAGTCCACCCGCTCAAAGAGTAGAAGCAGCTCCACGTGCTTCGTCTGTGGAAACAGATCCACTGCCATCGCTCGCACCGGACGGAACGGAGCTCCACGAACTCTGTTAGAGGGAGATCTGCACAGGCTGGGGACGAAAGACGAGACGATTCAAGGAAACATTACTTCTGTTTTTAATCATTCCCTACACACATCGGTCTTAAATAACTAGCAAAAGCTACCCATGGCTTTAATACTTGCTTTGGTTGTATTTTTTTTTAATGGTTAAAATGATTCCCACTGTCCCTAAATTATTATTCAATACATTTGGTGGTTAAATCAATTTAGAATTAAATAAATGTATTTAATAGTGAATCAACATTCACCAGTAATGGACTTTCCAACAGTTAAACTCTAGAGCAGAAGTCTTCAACAGGGGGTCCGCGTAGTTATGGGGGTCACGAAAGTTTTGGTTGATAAGACTTTTTTTTTTATTCCCCCCTGCAATTTTCCACTAATTGAAATGTCTTTAAATCCACATTAAAATGAATTCACTGTAGTAAACAGATAAATGGAGGTAGAAGATGTCTTTCAGTCATCAATGCTCACATTCAGCGACACACAGATTTTTCAAGCTGGGCACCGTTTCATTCACAACACCTGTCCCATCAACCAGGAATCAGAATCAGAAATACTTTAGTAATCTCAGGGAGAAATTACTTTCGTTTTCATGCAATATATATATATATATGAGATTAGGGGGTCCCCACTCCTTCTCTAGAGTATTACTAAATATTTCCATTTAGCCACATTCTTCTTATTAGGGAAGATGCTTTCAGCCAGCTGACTAGAGGTGTACAGCATCAGATGATGGGATTCTATACAGATCATCTTAAAAGTCGTGTAAAGATGTTACCTTTTACTTGTGTGACCTTGCAGTGGTTTAAAGCATCATGTCTAGACATTGGAAATAAAGCCTTACTCGATAAAGTTGGTCATGGCTGCCTTGGCGTTGCAGGCCACATACACCAGCCTCTTCAGATGTTCTGCTCTCCTGATGGCAAGGATGACTTTGGAGTCTGGTTAAGAAAAAGAAAAGCTCTTAGTTTCTCTAGAGGTGGCTGTTAACGGCTTCTGGTTATGTACTCACGGAGGCCGGCTCTGGGTGGATCCACAATAGCTGTAAGGTTGGGCGACACCAGAGCGTTCAGGATGTTGGGGAACACGTCCTCTGCTTTCCCGCAGTGAAACTCAACATTGCTGAGATCTTTAAGGTGTAAAGAAAAAAACTAGTTTGTGTGCGTGTTCATGACACGCCAAGAAAATAGACAGTTTAGTCCGAGTCCTACCATTCAGCTTTGCATTTATTTTGGCGTCTTCCACTGCTTCCTGACAGAGCTCAATCCCAATCACCTTTTTCACTCTCTACAAACAAAACTTCATTAAAAATAACATCTACCATGAAACAAACTTTCACGACAAAACATGTTTGGTCCAGACAGACTTCCGATGATCAAACACTTTTATTCTAAAGATGTGAAAACACCAGATTTGATAACGTAAAAACAGAACGTTACTTTAGCCAGGGAGATCCCGATGGTTCCCGTCCCACAGCAAACATCCAGAACCGTGCTGTCCTGATCCAGCTGGGCCCAGTCCCCCACCGCGGAGTACAGCACCTCTGCAGCTCCTGTGTTCACCTAGGAACAAACGCACAGCACTCAGATGTCTGCATCCGTTCAAGATGGAACAAAGGTCTTCAGAGTGAAACGTATGGTGGAGAGGCTGTGATGCTGAGGGCCTGTTTTATCTTCCAAAGATTATAGGTTGATTGGCTCCTCTATGAGATTTTTTTATTTAAAAAAAAGCAACAGGTCAGTGATTGGTCTCTTAGGAGGATGTTTGCGAAACTAACAGAAATTGTTAGTCATTTGTTTATGATATTCTAATTTTATGACCAGCACCTGTATGAAGCATACTCAGAGTTTGATCGGATCAAAAAAGACGCAAGCACATCCATGGTGGATTTTATTATTGACTTTGAACAGCGTTATTCGCGCATGAAAAAATACAAAATGGAGTTACCCGATGCAGTTCTGGCATTTAAGCTTTTGGATACTTCGTGCTTGGATGTGACAGACAGGCAGTTGGCTTTAACAGCATGCTCAGATGTGACGTTTGCTTCAATGAAATCCGCTTTAAAAAGAATATTTGGTGATAAGAAAAAAAGTGAAACAGCAGAGAGCATCAAGCAGGATTCAGTGTTTGCAACAGAACAACAAAGACAGAAAGGCAGGACTTGGAGGCCCAACTCATGGCAAAAGTCCCCACAACCCGGCACCAACCCATTGGACAGGTATGGAAAACGATCTAAGTGTGCTGTGTGTCAAAGTACCTATCACTGGGCCAAAGATTGTCCACGTAAAGCAGAAAGTATAAAAATCACTGAAGATAACACAGATGTGGAAGAATGCAATATTACTCTGTACACCAAAGAATCACCAACAGATGCTGAAATATTCATGACAGAAAGTTTTGGTTCAGTAATAATAGACACTGCTTGCACTAGAACAGTTTGTGGTAAAGAATGGCTGGATAACTACAGAGCTACACTGCAGCAAAAAGGGGTCAAGACTATGAGAGAAACAGAAATGAAAAGCCACAGGCCATTTAAGTTTGGAGATGGAAAAATAGTGTACTCCATCAAAAAGATAAAGATACCAGCCAAGATTGGCAACACACGATGTAACATCGAAACAGAAGTCGTTCCGGCCAACATCCCACTGCTTTTGAGTAAAACGTCACTAAAGAGAGCAAAAACTGTTCTGGACATGGAAAGAGACAGAGCAATGATGTTTAACCAGCCAGTGCAATTTGACTTCCCCAGCTCTGGACACTACTGTGTGAACATTGTGGATAAAGAAAGTAAAAGTCCTACTCACTCTGATCAATTGTTGGTGGAGGAAGAAATACTGGCTATAACAGATAAAATGAACCCAAGTGAGAAGACCAAAGTTCTGGAGAAACTTCATAAGCAGTTTGGACATGCTTCTGCTGAAAAGCTGAAACGGCTTTTAAACAATTCTGGCAACAAAGACACAGACTGTAACAGCCTCCTGCAAAACATCATAAACCAATGTGAAGTATGTCAGAAATATTGCAAGACCAAACCTAAGCCTGCTGTTGGCCTGCCACTAGCGTCGACATACAATGAGACTGTAGCTGTAGATCTACATGAGCTTGAGCCTGGAGTGTGGTATTTACACATCATTGATCAGTTTACTCGTTTCAGTGCAGGTAGTGTTTTGACCAGCAAAAGGTCTTCTGAGATCGTCAAACATCTTATTCATGACTGGATTAGTGTACATGGACCACCACAAAAGCTATTCAGTGACAATGGTGGTGAGTTTAATAATGAAGAAGTGAGAGACATGGCTGAGAACTTTAACATTGAAGTCAAGACAACACCTGCTTACAGTCCCTGGAGCAATGGGCTGTTGGAACGCCACAATCAAACTCTGACTGAGATTATATTGAAAGTAAAAACAAGTACTGGGTGCGACTGGAGCACCGCCATGGACTGGGCTCTAATGGCAAAGAACTGTATGCAAAGCGTCCATGGATCCAAGCGTCCAGCCCCCATCAACTTGTGTTTGGGCAGAATCCCAACCTACCTTCAGTGTTGATAGATAAAGCCCCAGCTCTGGAAGGGACTACTAAAAGTGAATGGGTGGCCAAGCACATCTCTGCCCTACATGCTGCAAGAAAAGCTTTTACAGAAGCAGAGTATTCAGAGAGAATACGCAGAGCCCTAAAGAAACAGCTGCGACCCACAGATGAACAATATAGACTTGGAGACAAAGTGTTCTACAAACGAGTGGACTGCCCTGAATGGAAAGGACCAGGAGTGGTTATTGGGCAGGATGGTGCAGTGGTGTTTGTTAGACATGGAGGCACCTGTGTCAGAGTGCACCGACTCAGGTTGAGGAAGGTTACTCATGAGAATGAAGAACATCAGATTACTGGTGATGACAACATTCAAGGACAACCTACAATGGACATTAATGAAGAAGAGACAGAAGAAAACCTTGGACATACAAGCACAGAGACACAGCCTGCAGAAATGGACAGAGACGCTGTGGATATGGAAAGACCGCACACGGAAACAGAAAGACAACAGACTGGCAGCATCAACGTAAAGCCTGGTGAGATTGTGACATTCACTAATGCAGAGGGTGTATCACAAACAGCAAAGGTGTTGGGACGAGCTGGTAAAGCAACCGGGAAATACAAGAACTGGTTTAACTTGGAACAACTTGAGCCTACAGAGGGGGCTGGTAACAGTAAATCAGTTGATTTATCACAACTGGAAAACCTTTGTGCTCGGTCTAATGTTGCTAAAATGGATACCCATGACGATATTTTTCTGAGCAAAGATATTTCACTGGATGCAGCAAAAGAGGATGAAATAAAAAGTTGGAAACAAAACCAAGTGTTTGAAGAAGTTGAGGACAAAGGTCAAAAGTGCATTTCCACTCGCTGGGTGTGCACTATGAAAGAAAGTGAAAATGGATTAGAACCAAAGGCAAGGCTTGTTGCACGGGGATTCGAGGAACTACAAGTTTCTGACTTACAAAAGGACTCGCCTACCTGTGCCTCAGAGTCACTGAGACTCCTAGTAGCAGTGATATGTCAGAAACAATGGAAACTTCACTCCATGGACATTAAATCTGCTTTCCTACAAGGAATGGAACTATGCAGAGACATTTTCATCAAACCACCTCCGGAGGCTAATAGCACAGGTGTGCTTTGGAAACTGAGAAAATGTGTGTATGGTCTAGCAGATGCTTCATTGTATTGGTACAACAGAGTAAAGAGCATCATGTTAGAAGCAGGAGGTGTTGTGTCTAAGGTTGATCCTGCAGTTTTCTACTGGCTTGATGAGAGCAAGAATGTTATGGGTGTCCTTGCTTGTCATGTTGATGATTTTATATGGGGAGGATCACAGTTTTTTTCAGAGTCAGTCATACCGAACCTTAGATCACAGTTTAATGTTGGTCATGAAGCTCATGAAACCTTCTCATATGTAGGTGTCAACCTTGTTACTTTGGGTACCAAGGTTAAGATACATCAACAGACATACATCCAAAACCTGCAGCCTATCAACCTCTCACCCTCTAGAGCAGCAGAGTCAGCTTCCCCTCTCACTGAGGAGGAGAGGGAGCAGCTCAGGTCAAAGATAGGCCAACTGTTGTGGGTTGCAAGACAGAGCAGGCCTGATGTCATGTTTGATGCAAGTAATTTGGCATCTAGTCTCAAACAGGCCACAGTACAGACCATATGTGAGGCAAACAGAGTTGTGTGTAAACTCAAAGCCAAGTCAGTTGAACTGAATTTTCAGCATCTTGGCGAAAACAGTAACTTAAAGATAGTTACGTTTACAGATGCATCTTTTGGGAACCTTTCAGATGGAGGTACTCAGGGTGGGCATCTGATTGTCTTGATGGGTGACAATGGTCGATTCTCTCCCATTTCTTGGCAGTCAAAAAGGATTAAGAGGATTGTCAGAAGCACGCTTGCAGGTGAAACACTGGCTATGTCAGAGGGGATTGATAATTCTATTTTTGTCTCCACACTGTTTTCTGAACTGAGTGCTGGTAACACCTCACATTCTTTGCCTATAACATGTGTCACTGATAACTTCTCTCTTGTAGATGCGCTAAAGTCAACCAAGTTTGTTGCTGAGAAAAGGCTACGCCTGGAAATCAGTTCTATTAAAGAACAGATCCAAACTAAGAGAGTTTGTCAGGTTTTGTGGTCAAAAACTAAAGACCAGCTCGCCGACTGCTTGACAAAGAAGGGAGCATCCACAACTTTGTTACTTAAGGCTCTTTATGAAGGCTGTTGGGCCGTATCATAAATGTAGTAAGAAGCTTGTTCAAATTTGTTGTTAAAAAGTGAAGATTGGCTTAGCAGTATTGCTAAATAGCTGTGCTTTGCTATGTGTTGTTTTGATGCATACGTTCTATATTTGATGCATTCAATTCTTTATGTATGTTTTGTTTATTTGTTTTTTTTAAGAAGAGAGTGAGTTTGTTAGTCATTTGTTTATGTTCAATTATCATGCCAGCCCACTAGGGGGCTCTGCAGGATAAGCTATCTCTTCTGGTGTTAGGACGTTGGCTGTATGTTGGTGGTTGAAAGAAAAATAAAGCTCTCCCGAACTCATCCAGAAGTGAAGTTATATTTGGGCTAACAGAAATAACTAAAGCATTTTCTATTCAACCATCTCAAACATGAATGTATCTGATTAACTCCACAGAAAAATCTGGTTCTGATCCTCTGATTTCTCTACCTGCTTCCTGTAAGTTTTGTTTAGCCTCCAGCTAAACTGCAATCCTTTAAATGTAGCGTTAAAGCAGGGGAACTTGGAAACACTGCAGGACAATCCTGCTCCACAGACACATTTCTGTAAAACAATCAAGCACCTCATTCCCACTGCTAAATATGGTGAAGGATCTGTGATGCTGTGGGCCTGTGTCTCTTCCAAGCACTCAATTGAGAGCAAGACATCTACTTATTTGTCAATAATTCTGTCTAATCCAAACTAGGGCTGAAACAATTGATCAGATAAATTGTGATTAATCAATTATTGAAATAATTGTCAACTAATTCAGTAATCGATTAAACTTTAAGTGGATTATACAGATTCTCAAACATGAATTTAGATGACAGAGCAACACTCTTAGAGCAGTAAAACCCAAAAATATGTTTTACATTTAAGATAATTCATTTTCATCTGGTTTTATTCTGTAAAAAAATCTCTTTGCTATCCGATTATCAATTAATGAAAAAAAGTAACAGATTAATCAATTAGCAAAATATGCTGAACTCATATATATTTTTATTCTCCATCGTTCCTGCCTACCTGGAAGAAGGAGTGAGGGGATATCCTGAACTTCAGGCCGAGCAGCTCCTCGTGAATGCAGCTCTCTCCAGCCACGAGCTCACAGGGCAGGTCTTCTAGGTTGGGAGATGTTCTTTAAAAGACAGAAACATTGAGATTAACTCTGCAATCCAGATTAATCTGGAAGCCTGACTTGATGAAAACTGGTTTCATTCACCTCTGACCCTCACGAACAAAGTACAGAGAGGTGATTCCGCTCTCTTTACCGTCCCCTTCAAAGAAATAGGTCTTCATCAAGCTCTTCAAGGTGTTGAGTTGCTCTTCCTCAAGTTTCTATGAGTGAAAACAGAAATCAGGGATTTTAAAACAGCACACCACAGACGATCAATTATAGAAAGCGTTTGATCACCTGTGGGTTGAAGAAGATGATGGCCATAGCTTGTTTGGTCCTGGTGGTGCGGACAGTTAGCTGCTTCCAGTGGCCTTCGTATGTCTCGGGACTGTACACAGAATACGGGGTGGTTCTGTTTCCAAAAGGACAGAAAAATAAACACCAGCTATTTTACATTGCACGGGTTAGAATAAGAGCTAAAGCGAGAGTCAAAGCACCTGATGAACTTCTGAAACTGGTGGACCACCCGCTTCGCCTCGGTGGACACATGGCAGGTCTCCGCTGGTCCCACCACAGCGCAGGAGCCTCCTTTATACTTCCCCAGGCGGAAACCGATGGTCTGATCCTCCCCGTCAGCCCCCACCGAGATGAGGAACTCACACTTGTTTCTGTACTCCGTCTGCCAAGAACCCCACAGTTTTGATTCAATTCAGTTTATTTAAATAGCCCCAATTCACAACACAAGTCACCTCAAGGCACTTCACACTTCTCCAGATCATACAGTCACATTGATTCAAAGTTTTCTATCTAAGGAAAACCAGCTAAGCATGCTTGTAGCTACAACTGCAAGCACTGAGTTCTTTTGAGACCGCCGACTGTTTATTCACTGTACCAACTGTTTACATATACATTTGCAATAACGTACTTTAACTGTAATATAAAATTACCTTCCACTGCACTTTAATCTAGATAGCTTCTGTCCAAACTTTATTTATTCATTTTATAGTAAAACCCATCTGTATATATGCTATTGTACATAATTGTAAAAACCTTTTTCTATAGTAATATCCACCTGTATATAGCAGTTAATGTAGTTCATAACACTAGTTATCTATATATTAAATTCATGATTTATAATGGTATTCATCTCTATACTCATTCAGTAGAAACCCATGCCCTGTATTTATAGAACCATTATTTATCCTTCACTTTCTGCTATTGCACTTCTGGTTAGACCTAAACTGCATTTCGTTGCCTTGTACCTGTACCTGTGTAATGACAAAGTTTAATCTAATCTAATAATGAGCATCAGCTGTACACTCTTTTTGTTTTTTGGACTGGTTACAGTGATTTTAGGTACAATATAGGTATATATATATATATATACACACATGTATTTTTTTGTTTATATATGTATTTAATAATTCAATAAATACATTTCATTATTTATTTAGTATAAAAATATATGTATTTAAAGCATGCATCACAAGTAACATTGGCTTTTTAACATTACATCCTGCCACTTTTTATTTTATTTATTGAATATGTGGCAGTTTGGGCTTTTCATAAGTGCTCCAGTCACCATTGATCCCACTTATAGACATTTGCTTGTGTGACATGTTTAGATTCAAGTATTTTGGTCTAAAACTGCCTGGTCAACCTATAGGATGACTATTTGGTCAACCGAATGGAGGCTGGAGGAACACAAAGCAGTTAAAGCAGTAAGCAGTTGAGGCTGTGCTGTAGGATTGTCTATTTATTCGCCTCCAACGCAGCAACAGCTGCCTGATGCAGCTGTGGACGTGCCCAGTCACGTCAGTCAAATTCAAAATACTTTACAATCCCTCTAAGCGTGCTTGTAGCGACAGTGGAGAGAAAAACGTCCCTTTTAACAGGAAGAAACCTTCACTAGAACCAGGCTCAGTGTGAGCAGCCATCTGCTGAGGCCGACTGGGGTTCAAGGAGACAGAAGCAGAGATCCAGGAAACACAACTGTTTACCAAAATAGGAACGACATATATTACAAGAAACGCCACCAAATCTGGACATTTGATTACTGTGATTAGTCCACCTGCCTCCTGCATATTTAACTCAGAGATTAATAGTGCAGAGACTGAGAATTCATGCAAATCACTCCCTTTGTTTGCTTTTAGCATTGCTATCAGGTTAACAGCCCAAACATCTGCTCTTGTCCCTGCTTTCTAAAAGAATCTATACTTGCAAAGCTTGATTTCTGCTGAACGCAGATAAAAACGTACCTGTGTTGGAGAAGGTCGGATAGTTTCAAGAGGACAACACATTTTGTTTAATTTCGCTTTCTGTGCAAAGATCCATGGCAGTAAGGCCTTGTTGGTGCTGCCAATCTCCCTGAAAACAACAAAAACAAAGTGTTTTGGTTAAACATAAATAAAAGCAAACAGAGTATGAAAGCAGAGGATTGGTGGAACGCCGTCCTTCAGGCAGACACCGAGACTCGGCGTCGCAGCTGTGGATGGGACCACCTACTTGGCCAGTCTTTGCAGAGTTTCCACCACTTCCTGCTCCTTCATCTTCAGCTGCTCCTCATAAGGCACATTCCACAGAGGAGTCACAGCGTTGGCGATCTGCACACTGAGCGGCTCCTCTTCCCTCTCTGGTCTCTTAGACGCCGGTCCTTCTCCCTCCTCTCGACTCCTCTTACCCAGGATGGGGTCCGCTTTGGGTTTGGCCAGCCTGATGCTCAGGACCTGACCCTTCCACTGCATGCCGTGCACCATCTTCATCGCCTTGTCGCGCTCCTCCTCGTTCTTAAAGGTGACGAAGGCAAACCTCTGCTTGCCGAAGAGCTTGATCTTGTGAGGGTTCAAGCAGTGCTTGACCAGGAACTTCTTCAGGTCGTTAAAGCCGATGAACTTGGGCAGATTTCTGATTTCAACTTTGAAGATCTCTGAGGTAAAGAGGTCTTCTTTGATGTAACGGTACTTGTTGGGATCGGAGCTGGCCTCGCTACCTTCAGCTGCAGGATCGGATGTGGGGGCATCAGTGTTGGAGTCTTGGATGAGATCATCAGGGTTTTCCTCCTTGGAGGATGCAGCAGCATCACCTGGAAGATCCGCCATCACCCTGTTGGCTGCTATGATACAAACAAACAAACCACAGTCATTACTTAACATCTTACGTATTTTACTTGTTAAAATATGGTAAACTTTACTGACTTTTTTTTTTGCAAACTAAATATGTTGCTAAGGTTTAGCAGATGGTGGTAATCACACCACCTCCCATGCAATATATAAAAAAACACAAATATTACAGTTTACTTTATCAAAGATTTTAAAAGCTAAGATAAGGATTTATGATCAGAGCTGAAGTGTTTGTAGATATAATTTTATCACCCAGATTATAATGTTAGAGGAAGATAATTACTTTGTTGTTAACAGGAAAGTTTCTGCGAACATTTCAAACTCCACAGCCTCGCTGGAAAATACGTATTTACTCCAAAAATTATTCATTGGATTTATTTTTCCCCACGAGCCTTACCTTTACACGTCTAATAACGCTGATTTTACTTCTGCTTAAACAGTGCAGGGCGTCGCCATGTTGGTCCGACCACGTGCGGCGTCAAGAGGAAGCTTCTTAAAGTGACAGTGTCCCTTTTTTTGCACTCGCGCGCCGTCAAAAAAACATGCGTTCACTTTTCCACACCATGAAAGGACAAATAAAACAAGATGAGTTCAATTAGATTGATTTTTATTTCATTTTATTGTCAGGTACAACTTTATGTACATTTGTTTGGAGATATATATAACAACAAAAATAGCTAGGGTTTGATGTAATTGATAACCTTTCATGTTTTTTTATTTTTATCATAACCATAGGGATAATATACAGTGTCTGGCACAAACGGAGGCAGAGAGGAAAAAAGACATATAAACTTGTTTAATTATTATTTTCAAAATATTTAAGTTTTAATTGTTAGGCCTATTACTTATGATGCTCACATGAACAACAAACTGGACTGGACTCACAACAATGAGGCTTACTAGGCCTACAAGAAGGGTTACAGCAGGGTCCTACTGCTTAGGGGACCTCCTAAAGACCTTCTAGGACTCTGTCAGGGCATCAGCCATCTTCTATGGAGCATAGAAGGTTGCAGGGTGTATATATATATATATATATATATATATATATATATATATATATATATATATATATATATATATATATATATATATATATATATATATATATATATATATATATATATATATATATACATACATATATACTTTGTGTACAGGAACATCTGTGCAGAGTATGGGCTGGGACCCCAAGATCAAAGTTGGAAACACCTCTAAAGATGGTAGAGGAAGACCGAGCCAGGATACTGTGGGACTTCAGATACAGATGGACCGAATGGTAATGGAAAACCAACCGGACATTGTGATGTTGGATAAAAAGCAGAGGAAAGCCGTTGTGGTTTACAAACCAATACCAAGTGACTGCAACATCAGGATAGCTGACTGTATCTACTCAAAGGCAATCCCTCACACTAAGCATACTTGCAGCGGCAGTGGAGAGGAAATACTCCCTTTTAACAGGAAGAAACCTCCAGCAGAACCAGGCTTAGTGTGAGCGGCCATCTGCCAAGGCCGGCTGGGGTTCAAGGAGACAGAAGCAGAGATAAAAAAGGCAACTGTAAATGGCGGCCCCATCCAAAACACACAGCCAGGCAGACAAGCTGTCAGCTCCCATGTCAGAGGATAAAGAGAGAGCATATCAGAGAAACAGGACTACACTGAAAAACAGGCTGACCTCGAACATCTACCCATATATCCTTATACACATTAATATATATATACATATATATATATATATATATATATGTATGTATATATATATGTATGTATATATATATATATGTATATATATATATATATATATATGTATATATATATATATATACAAGTACTATTACAAAAGTTATTGCCGTTGTAGTGTCGCATTGTAGAGTCTGGTGGCGGCAGGGATGAGTTACCTGTGGTAGCGCTCCTTCTTACAAACGGGGTTTAAAGTCTTCCACTAAAGAAGCTGCTCAGCTCCTCTACACTCTGGTGCAGAGGGTGGAAAGTGTTGTCCATTCTGGATGTAAGCTTGGACAGCACCCTCCTCTCAGCCACTTGCTCCACTGAGTCCAGAGTGCAGCCTAGGACAGAAACAGTGTTTCTCACAAGTTTGTTCAGTCTTTTTCTGTCCCGCTCTGCGCTGCCAGGAGCCCAGCAGACAACAGTGAAGAGGAGGGCTGATGCCACCACAGAGTAGAAGGTTTTATGCAGGGGCCTGCTCACTCCTAAGGACCCCAGCCTCATCCGGAGGTGGAGGCGGCTCTGGCACTTCTTATACAGGCCATCAGTGCTATGAGCCCAGTCCAGATTAGTTATAATGTTTAATCTTTTTTAATCTTTTTGCCTTTTCACCCTGGTACTGACACCCTTTTATTTCTCCACTGTGGGACAATAACATTTCTATTCTAATTCTATTTGATTGTATTATTAGCTGATTTTATGAGCCTTTTTGGGGTGGTTTAGCTCAATGCTGTTAACAATGTGTAAGGTGCTCATTACACATTTTTTATATTAATTATTATTATATTAATCTTTATATAAAATATAATTGATATATAAAAAAATTTATATAAAATCAAAAGGTCAGCTGTCTCCTTCCCAAAATAGGGAAACATGACACAGGGACTTGTAATTACTGTAATTAGATGGAAACAGTGGTACGTTTATTATCAGAATTTAATAAATATTCACAGGACCATCAGCACTTAAATTCAACACTAAATAGAGAAAAAAATAAGATTTTCAATTAAAAACCTTTTGGGAAGTAAATCAAAATTCTGCTATAAATCAGTTAGTTAGATTTAAAAAAAAAACACTGGATTATTTAATCGTATTTAAAGTAAGAATATAAGTGTTTGTAAGCATGTGAATATACACACATACTAATTTATATGTATGGATATTGACTAATAGATTGGTATGTATTAATTATTTCCCTCTGACATCATTGATGACCACACTCCAGTCTGGTAGGTGGCGGTAAATGCACCTTAAGTAGGTTGACATCCGCCAATAAAAAATATCAGAAGAAGAAGACGTCTCCTTCCGGATGAAGGTTGACTGAACACGTGAGCATGCGCAGAGAATTCGGCGCGCGAAAGCTGCTCCAGGAAGTGAGAACAACTGAACGCTAACGGCTGCCAGTTTGGGATCTGAAGCTCTCACACAACTTCCACAATCTCTTAACATCTGCTTTATTATGGCAGACCCGAAGGTAAGATCGCACATTCTGGGTTAGTAAATAAATAACCTTTTAATTAAAACCGGAATTTTCTGATTGTAGGTTTATTTTGTGGCTGAAATTTGCCAAAATTAGAAAAAGAAAAGGAAAATCCAACAACAAATCAGTTTTACTCTAATAAATGCGTTAGAGTGGATTTTTACGTCGTGAAACATATCGCGGATTTATTTATATTATTGAAGAATTCTCAAAAAAATCTGTTCGACACATTTTGATTAGTGATTTTCCTCAACACGTCGCTTGGAGTTGAGGTTTACGAGCTCCGACAAGTCCTGTGAAGTGTGCATCAGTTGGCACGTTAGCCTCTTTTAAATATTCTATAGCAAAATATTATTATAGCTACAGTTTACTGCAGTATGAACATCGTTAAATAAATTTCACATTTGCACAAAAACAACGAGCTCAGTAAGGTTATTTATGTTTGTGTGTTATTTATCCTAGTGTGATGCGAGCTGCTGTTATGTTGCTAATGTTAGCTTTAATAGTAGAGCGCTAAAGAGAAACTGTTTTATAGTTGTATTTTTTCATAACTTTATACAGCGGGCACAGTTAGCATACTGTTGGCTTTTTTATATCTTAAATTACCGCATGCCATGCAGTTATTAAGGGTTTAAGCAGCGATAAGTGATGACAGCTAGCTGTTAGCCGCCTGCTAAGATTGAGGCCTTTTCAACAAGCCGGGTAACTTTACGGCAAGTTGACAGAAAATCGCAGTGAAATCGAGGTTTGTTGGCTGGTGTTCAATTAAAATGAGATCTTAGACCAAAAATTCAATAATCACACAATTAGGAACTGTTTATAACGAATTTTTATTCCCTGGGAAAAAAAAAAAAAAAAAAAAAAAAAACATTCTTTGCAAATTTGAGGGGAAAAAAGCAATTGAAACACTGAGAACTCATTCTGTGAAAGTGATAAATAATCAATAGACCGTGTCTTCTATGAACGCAATCAAACCAAAACATTTAGGAATTGCTCAGAAACAAGGATCACATCAAAAATTGCTCTTCATGAATCTATTTCTATAGATATAACTTTTGGAATATTATTGAAAAGCAAAACAATAGAACTCTTTTGTAACCTAATTTTGTGTTTAGCAAAATTCTTTCTTCATAAACAAAGATTGTTGATATCATCCCCAATCTTTAAAGTAAAAAAAAAATAAAAAATCTGAATTCATGTTATATTTGAAATCTCTTAAATGTATCGAATTATACTAATACCTGACTGAAATACTGATGAGTTTGCCCACTGATGTTCATTAATCCTAACAGGAATCCCCTTGTTGCCATTGTAATAATTATTTCATTATTGTCAGCCATTTTCTTTTTTTGTTCCTTATCAATAATGCCTTGTACTTCCATTTTTCAAATCTTCCTCTACTATGCCTTTGACTGTTGTTTTTTGTTTAAATAAAGTTAGTTAAAAAAAAGAGATCTTAATAATCGTCTGCTTCTGATTTCTAAACCCACATAAAAATCCTAATGATTGTTTTAAAACAGCATATTAAACAATTCCTGTTAAATTAACTTTGCATCCTGAGACAAATCATCATTGCTTTCCAGTAAACTATGGGAATGTTTCCCTTAAATTTGGAGCACATACCGTAAAGCAATATTCAGCAGACGGGGGTCAGCAGCAGGCCTGTACAAAAGGCTTTGTTCTCTCTGGCCCAAAACCTATACACATAATCCACTCCATTGAAAACTGGCCTGTTAGTGCCTCACTAAAATCACTGCTTCGGTTTATTCTTTGAAGACCTTGGTTGTTCTAAAGAGTGTCTGTCATTTTCTGGGAAAGCTAATATATATTTTTCTTAAAATGACCAGGAAGAGCATGAAACCACTGGAGAAACTGCAGAGGACTCCAACCATGATCCCCACTTTGAGCCCATCGTCTCTCTTCCTGAGCAGGATGTGAAAACATTAGAAGAGGATGAAGAAGTGCTCTTTAAAATGCAAGTTTTTTTTTTTTTTTTGTCATATTTTAATTGCTTGATGTGGTTTTGCTAGAAAAAGTTACAATTCAGTCTTTTAAGTTTGTGATGGGATATAAAGAATCAATTTTTAATTTAGTATAAGTTGGATAATTGTTTTTAAACGCCCCCAAAAACAGTGAAATGGCCCCTTAAGCCAGGGCAAGCTCAATCACAATATAATTCAACATATATATCAATAAATTGGTATGTTTGTAATAAAGTGCTGTTGTGTATCCAGGCGAGCCAAACTGTATCGTTTTGCATCGGAGAACGATCCTCCAGAATGGAAGGAGAGGGGCACTGGCGACGTGAAGCTCCTGAAACACAAAGAAAAAGGTTCCATCCGCCTCCTGATGAGGAGAGACCGAACTTTGAAGATTTGTGCCAATCATCAGAGTGAGTCGGCTTGGAAAACGTTCTAACTATACTGAGATTTAAAAAAAGCTTTTCTTCCTCCTCCTGTTTTAACAGCTTTAAGTACTTTTCTTGAAAAATACAGGAGTTGCTTCTTTTTTTTAAGCTCTAAGCAGTATAGGTTCATGCTGCTCTGATCCTTCCTTGCAACATTGATGCAAAAACAATTTATTTCATTACTTGCAGTAAAAGAAAAATATAGTTTTAAAGCATTTTCTGATAAATCCCACCAGCAGCCATGCTGCATTTAAAAACATATTACTGGTTACATACAAAGCAATGGAAGATGATGTCATATATGTAAAGGAGTCTGAGATTTTTCTTTAAGGTGTTTCTGATGGAATGTAGCGTACAGCGCTCTCGTATAGTTAAAGGTGGGGTATATGATCCTGGATAAACGGTTCCTGCCAGCTACATTTTTGAAAATACACACCTTCAGCCCACCCCACGAAACCACGCCTCCAAATTACATGAACGCGCCTGCTGTCAGTCGAGAATGTTCGGATGTTCCCGAGAACGAGAACGAAACAGGCCGAGACCTCGCGTATCTTACAAAATGTTTATAAGCATGGATTGGACAGGAATGCAGCGTCAAGGAGGATAATACTTTATAGTGCCATGATAGCAATCAATATTTCAGACGGAGCTAGTAAGCTAGAGAAACATGCTGGGACATTGCATGTAGTCGACATCTTTGACTTTCTCACTAATGTGGTAAATAAGAAGTAACCAAGTATTATCTCAACATATAAGAAAACATAACGTTGTCTTACCTATCGAGTAGAAACAAGGCCACCTTAGCATCCGTCTGTAGTCCCCTGTCTTCTTTCAGTTGACGCCAACGTTGGAAAGCTGTACCGATTACCACTCTCGTCCTGTTTCGTTCTTCTGTTGCTTTTATCCTAGCTGTTGCTTTTTCAAGCACAGTTTTGCCTTTTCTTTTCGAACCCGTTGTTGTCGTCTTTTCTGCCATAGTCAATATTCTCTCTGGCTGTGTGAGATAAAACTGTGGAGTTGGGCTTGATAGCTAGGTAGCTAGCTCTCTAGTAGCATTTGAAGTTCACGGTAGGGTGGAGTTACCTGAAATGACTCCTGCGCCGGCACTTGGGGGGGGGGGGGGGTCACGAGTCTGTGAACGCGCAGGGGGGAGGGGTGGGGAGAGCTCAGAGCTGACGGTTGATGGGCGTGCCAGCAACCAGTAGAAGTAGGGATGATAGTTACTTCTATTGGTTAGCGTTTTCCTCTGACTACGCCCTCTACACTGGACTAAAAGATTTCGTTTTTTTTCCAAACATTCTATCTCAGTTGGCGCAATGGGCTCGTGAGGAGGTTTTCAATCAGTATGGTAAAAACATGCTCCAGAAAACATCACATACCCCACCTTTAAGTGCAGACGTTTTTTGTTAATTTCTTCCTTGCTAACATCTGACCTTCTTTTTAAACGGCAGTCAGTCCCCTGATGGAGCTGAAGCCCAACGCGGGCAGTGACAGAGCATGGGTGTGGAACACACTAGCAGATTACGCCGACGAATGTCCCAAACCAGAACTACTGGCAATACGCTTTCTAAATGCAGAAAGTGAGCATTATTCACACCTATAATCCAATATTACATCAGAAGATGCCCTTTCCTGTTTATTCGACCTAATAACCACTGTTGTTCTTTCTCTACAGATGCTCAGAAGTTTAAGGTGAAGTTTGATGAATGCAAAGAGGAGGTCAAAAAACAAGTAGAGGGATCAGGTACGTTATATATTCTTATTAATGTTTTATTATATTGCCATACTATTTATTAACTTTCTGTACAGAGTAAAGTCAGGGCCCCGGTTTGCTGGATAAGTTTTAGTTTAATTTATTGGATATAATGAGTAATGATGATGCAGACACACTCTGTTCTTTGCTGCTTACTCCAGCCTGGGACTTTTTCTGTCTGCTAAATAAACACGCAGGATGTAACACTGCTAGCTTTCCATAAAGCCAGCGGTGGTCACTTTTTCTGCTACATTTTAGCTTCTTTTAAGTGTATTTGTGCTCAGTTTGGTTTTTAGTGTTTTTCAAGAGGAAGCACATTTGAGATGCTGAACAGGCAGCAGCTCTGATATATAGATGCTCCCGTCTAATGATGGTTTGTCGTTTTGCCACAGGCGACACTGACAGTGCAAACAAGGTGGCAGAGAAGCTGGAGGAGCTCTCGGTAAAAGAGAAGTCATCAGAGGGAAAGAAGGAAGAGGACAAAAAGGAGACCGAGAAGAATGAGGATGAGAAGAAGGAGGTGAAAGCTGCAGAGAAGAATTAAGAATCTATTCTTTGCTGATCTTCAGTTTTTGTTTTTTCAGTTTTTCCTCTTTTTCTACAATAGACTATATTGAACTGAATTTGGACTCTGACATATTAGGTTTTTTTGTTTTAATCTGTTTTGCCTCAAGATCACAAGTCCTTGAAGCCACTGGAGAAAATATCAGACGCAAAGTTTCTAAAAGCCCCTTTCCCACTTTTCTCAGCGGAAGCCCGTAACTTTCCATCCTTACTTGGAAGAGGTCAACATTTCTATTGACTAACTGTGAACGGAGGCTTGTGGTAGCGATCATTCCCACATTGGGGTGTTTTTTGTTGTTGTTTTTTCGTTTTATGATGAAGCAGAGTATTTGGTGGGGGGGGGAGAACATAATGTAGCCTGCTGATCAGCAGCACCAGGTCAGAAACAAGACATCAGGGCGGTGCCTGAGATTCCTGTCCACACTTCCTCTATTTGATCACAAGGTGAAGGCTTCTGTTTGAAGTGATTATCTCTCTGGGTTCCTCCTTTTAGTTTAGCTGTTGGCTGACTTGGAAGAGGAGGAAATCCCTCTGGACAGTTTTGGAGCATCAGAAGAGTCACGATCAGGGTGTCCATTTATGGGTTAATGGCGGATAACATGCACTCAGTTAAGAATCTCATCTTTGCCTTTTATTTAGCGTTTAAAATGAAGTCCAAAGCAAAAACGGTTCATGAATTTGTGCGGCTTGTTTTTCCTCACTCTTGTTTTTGATCAGGAGATTAAAGTTTGTATGTTTTAGTTCATAACATTCCCAGACTTTGAAGCATTTAATGTGTACGTAACAGAGCGCTCCCATCAGGTCTGTGTGCTCACCGCTCTCTTTCCACCCGATAAGTCCCCAACCTGGACTCCAGCGCATCCAAGAGCCAGTGCATCTGTAAATACATGTATATGGATGAAATGCTGCTCTTTGTTTGCACTCGGATCAGAAATGTTTCCTCCAACTTCAAATAAAAGCTGGCAAAGATTACACCTTTGTATCCATGTATAATCTGCATCTCAGTAAATCAAACTGTCTGGAAAATTAAACAATTTCACTGAGTTTGTTTACATTCTTTACATACAAAAAGAGCAATGTTTGAAGCGTCAGTTTTTGATGATCATGACTAGAGGGTATCTGATCAAATGAAATCTTTACATTTTCACTTTCATTGCAGCCTTTTGCTAAAATAATAAATGTTTTATTAATGTTCACTCAGCACCCCATCTTGACAGAAAAAAAAGTAGAAAAACTGAAGTATTCAGACCCTTTGCTCAGTATAAAGTAGAATCCTTTTGAGCTTGTACAGCCTCGAGTCTTCTTGGGAATGAAGTTTCCACCTGGATTCAGGGATCCTCTGCCATTCTTCCTTGCAGATCTTCTCAGTTCCGTCGGGTTGGATGGTGAGCATTGGTGGACGGCCATTTTCACGTCTCTAGAGATCATCAATTGGGTTTAGTTCAGGGCTCTGGCTGGGCCAGTCAAGAAGGGTCACATTTTTGTTCCCAAGACCCTCCTTTATTTTAGCTGTGTGCTTGGGGTCGTTATCTTGCTGGAAGGTGAACCTTCGGCCCAGCCTGATGTCCTGAGCGCACTCTGTACTTGGCTGCATTCAACTTTCCTTCAGTTGCAACCAGTCATCCTGTAGCTATATAACACCCCCATAGCATGATGCTGCCACCACCATGTTTCACTGTTGGGAAGGTGATGAGCAGTGTCTGGATTTCACACATACCACTTAAGTAATACCATTCATCTCCATCGTCTGTTCTGAAGTTTTTTTTTTTTTTAATCGGCCTAAAGTTTCAACTGTTTGACTCAATTGCACTCATCTATGGTCATTATCCAAAATCACCAAAAATAATTTCTAATACCTGGAAAAAGCATTAATTCAATCAGATGCTGTTTTTTTAACCCTTGGGTGGATCCAGTCCATATAAAACTTTTAATGGACAGTAGTCTTATCGTTGCAGCAAAAGGCTGCTAATTTGGACGCACCGCATACATCCTGCAGACGGGTTAAAACAGATAACAGTCATTTTGGACCTGCTGAAATGTTAAATGCCGTCTCCATAACGAGGCGTAGCAGCAGATAAAATGGCTCGCATCTCTCCAGCAACAAGCCGGACTTAAAAACGAAATCTAAAATTTACTTTCATGGTATGACATTTGTCTGGTGGCTTCCTCCATTTAGCCCCCATTTGATTTCCAAACCTTCTTTACAGGCGGATAAGAGTTGATGATGTGATCATTAGAACGAATTCAGTTCAGAGTTGGATGTTTTCTTTCAGGTCCTTCAATATTTTGTCATCAAAGACCAAAAAAAACAGGGACACATATACAGCTATAGTGTATTCTCCATTATACATGCATGTTCAGCATGAGGCTGACTGTCAGCAGTGGGCCCTGCAGTGATATCCATCCTAGGAAAGGAAGATGGGAGTAGTGGCAGTCATTTGAAGGTGAAATGATGGCTGTTTGCATTTGGAGTAAAGTGAAATTAAAAACTATTAAGTTGTATTGGTTCATCTAACCATCAGCTTTGCCTAAAATAGCTCTGTTAACCAAAGCCTAAATACGTTTTTGTTAAGGCAGCTGAGTGAGTAAAGAAACCAGGTTAAACCTCAGTAAACGACCACCACAGCTTCTGGGTTTTATTCTTTGTCATTTATAGAAATTTGAGTTTATCAGACTGAAGGAAAAGGGATCACAAAGTCCAAAGAATAAAAACAAACTCCAGAGTGGCTTTCTTCTCCATCCGGATCACAGATAGCATTTCAGTGGGTTTCTCTGCTAAAAAGGCAACGGTGGCTTTTTTTAGTAACGCAGATAAATCTAACATGTAGCTTGTATCAATTCCTGCCTTTTATTTTATTTTCAATCTATTCTTCACACTTCAACATCATCAAAAAAAAATGTCACCACGCTGTACCAGACAGCCGCTGCTAATACAGGTGCTGGTCATAAAATTAGAATATCATGAAAAAGTAGATTGATTTCAGTAATTCCATTTAAAAAGTGAAACTTGTATATTATATTCATACATTACATACAAACTCATATATTTCAGATGTTTATTTTGTTTAATTTTGATGATTACAAATGACAACAAATGAAAATCTCAAATTCATCATATCAGAAAATTAGAATATTACTGAAGACCAATAAAAACAAAGGATTTATAGAAATGTTGGCCAACTGAAAAGTATGAACATGAAAAGTATGAGCATGTACAGCACTCAGTATTTAGTTGGGCCTCCTTTGGCCTGTATTACTGCAGCAATGCGGCGTGGCATGGAGTCGATCAGTCTGTGGCACTGCTCAGGTGTTATGATAGCCCAGGTTGCTCTAATAGTGGCTTTTAGCTCTTCTGAATTGTTGGGTCTGGTGTATTGCATCTTCTTCTTCACAATACCCCATAGATTTTCTATGGGGTTAAGGTCAGGAGAGTTTGCTGGCCAATTAAGAACAGGGATACCATGGTCCTTCAACCAGGTACTGGTAGCTTTGGCACTGTGTGCAGGTGCCAAGTCCTGTTGGAAAATGAAATCTGCATCTCCAAAAAGTTGGTCAGCTGCAGGAAGCATGAAGTGCTCTAAAACTTCCTGGTATGTGGCTGCGTTGACCCTGGACCTCAGAAAACACAATGGACCAACACCAGCAGATGACATGGCACCCCAAACCATCACTGACTGTGGAAACTTTACACTGGACTTCAAGCAACGTGGATGAAGTGCCTCTCTTGTTTTCCTCCAGACTCTGGGACCTTGATTTCCAAAGGAAATGCAAAATTTACTTTCATCAGAGAACATGACTTTGGACCACTCACCAGCAGTCCAGTCCTGTTTCTCTTTAGCCCAGGCAAGACGCTTCTGACGCTGTCTGTGGTTCAAGAGTGGCTTGACACAAGGAATGCGACAGCAGAAACCCATGTCTTTCATACGTCTGTGTGTGGTGGTTCTTGAAGCACTCACTCCAGCTGCAGTCCACTCTTTGTGAATCTCCCCCACATTTTTTAATGGGTTTTGTTTCACAATCCTCTCCAGGGTGCGGTTATCTCTCTTGCTTGTACACTTTTTTCGACCACATCTTTTCCTTCCCTTCGCCTCTCTATTAATGTGCTTGGACACTGAGCTCTGTGAACAGCCAGCCTCTTTAGCGATGACCTTTTGTGTCTTGCCCTCCTTGTGCAAGGTGTCGATGGTCGTCTTTTGGACAACTGTCAAGTCAGCAGTCTTCCCCATGATTGTGTAGCCTATAGAACTAGACTGAAAGACCATTTAAAGGCTTTTGCAGGTGGTTTGAGTTAATTAGCTGATTAGAGTGTGGCACCAGGGGCCATCAATTTTGAACCTTTTCACAATATTCTAATTTTCTGATATGATGAATTTGAGATTTTCATTTGTTGTCATTTGTAATCATCAAATTTAAACAAAATAAACATCTGAAATATATGAGTTTGTATGTAATGTATGAATATAATATACAAGTTTCACTTTTTAAATGGAATTACTGAAATCAATCTACTTTTTCATGATATTCTAATTTTATGACCAGCACCTGTAGTCTGATTTCCTCCCCTCTCCTTAAACAGAAGTCACATATTTGCTGTTTTTTTTTTTTTTTTGAAGTATGGCCACATTAGTTGAACACAACTCCAGGGAGTGGTAATGAAATGCACATTCTCTGATGTTTGACCATTAGGACCACG